AGCATCCTTTTTCCTGAGGCCGGGGGCTGATTGTCTAGCCGATGTTACCGCCTGATTCGTGGTTTCCGTCTCCGGAGGGAGGGACGCTCAAGCATTGGGAGGAGAGTTATCAAAAGGCGCAGAGCTTGGTCCAGAAGATGACGCTTATCGAAAAGGTCAACATCACAACTGGGATTGGCTGGCAGATGGGAATGTGTGTTGGAAACACTGGTACGTTGGTTGACTGTGACTATGGATTTCATGCTGATTGCTCAGGCCCGGCGGATATTGTTAAATTCCCCTCGTTGTGCTTACAGGACGGCCCTCAAGGATTACGCTTTTCTGACCATGTGTCTGCCTTTCCGGCGGGTATTACAACGGGATCTACGTGGAATCGAGAGCTCATGCGCGAGCGCGGCGTCGCCATGGGGCGAGAGGCTCGGTTGAAAGGAGTGAATGTCCTCTTGGGCCCGTCGATGGGCCCCCTGGGGATGATGCCTGCGGGAGGGCGCAATTGGGAAGGTTTCGGCTCTGACCCTGTGCTTCAAGGTGTGGCTGCGGCGGAAACCATCCGAGGTATTCAGAGCAACGGGGTCATGGCGACGGCGAAGCATTTCTTGATGAATGAGCAGGAACATTTCCGGCAGCCCTTTGAGTGGGGGATTCCGACCGCTTTATCGTCCAATGTGGGCGATCGTGTCCTGCACGAAGTCTTTGCGTGGCCGTTTGCCGAGAGTATTCGAGCCGACGTTGCTAGCGTAATGTGCTCTTATCAAATGGTGAACAACAGCCACGCCTGCGAAAACAGCAAACTGTTGAACGGGATCCTTAAGGATGAACTGGGGTTTCAAGGGTTCGTGCAGTCCGACTGGCTGGCCCAGCGGTCTGGCATCAACAGCGCCCTTGGGGGCCTCGACATGAGCATGCCTGGAGACGGTCTGCACTGGATGGACGGCAAGTCCCTCTGGGGTAGTGAACTGACAAGAGCAGTGCTCAACACGTCTGTTCCTGTGGAGCGACTCAATGACATGGCCACTCGGATTGTGGCTGCGTGGTATCATCTGGGGCAGGATGCCTGGGAACGTCCGCCACCCGAGGGCAACGGCGGCCCCAATTTTTCTTCATGGACCAACGACGAGGTTGGGTGGTTGCATACGGGAAGCAACGACGAGTCCTATGCTGTGGTGAACCAGTACGTTGACGTCCAGGGCACCGGGCCGGAGGCGCATAGCATTATTGCGAGAAAGGTTGCGGCGGAAGGGACAGTGCTGCTGAAGAACGTAGATCACACACTTCCGCTGTCGCGCAACGCCTCGAGTCCATCCGGAGGCGTTCTCCGCATTGGTATCTATGGTGATGACGCCGGACCGGCCTCGGGGCCAAATGCTTGCCCTGACCGGGGATGCAACCAGGGCACCCTGGCTACCGGCTGGGGCAGTGGAACCGTGGAGTTCCCGTACCTTGTCAGCCCTATTGAGGCGTTGGAATCTGCATGGTCGACGGAAGTAGAGAGCACCACGTACCTGCGCAACGCCATCATGCCAGCGGACACGGTTGACAAAGATCTGTGCCTGGTTTTTGTGAATGCAGACTCAGGGGAAGGGTATATTTCTGCAGGCGGAATTCACGGCGACCGAAACGATCTCTTTTTGCAGAAAGGAGGCGATACACTGGTCCACAGCGTGGCGAGCAACTGTGGTGGCGGACAGGGGAAGACAGTGGTTGTCATCCACGCGGTCGGTCCGGTCGTGATGGAGTCATGGATCGATCTCCCTGGCGTGCATGCTGCCCTGCTCGCCAACCTGCCTGGACAGGAGAGCGGAAATGCATTGATGGACGTGCTGTTTGGCGACGTGGATGCCAGTGGACGATTGCCGTATACAATCGGGAAGAGTCTGGAGGACTACGGGCCTGGCGCGCAGGTGTTATACGAGCCCAATGCACCGGTGCCGCAGGTGGACTTTTTGGACGCTCTGTACGTCGATTACCGGCATTTTGACCGGCATAACATCACGCCGCGCTTCGAATTCGGATTCGGGCTGTCCTATACTACATTTGAACTGTCGGATCTCAGCGTCAGCCCGCTGCAGAGAAAATCGCGGACTCCACCCCCGCGGCCTGCAGACGCCGTGGCTCCACCCGTGTACGATGCCAGCCTCCCGGATCCTGCATCGGCGTTATTCCCAGCTGGGTTCCAGCCAATCTTCCAGTACATCTACCCCTATCTTTCAAATCTTGATGGAACGGCGCCTCGCAACTATTCATTCTACCCCAAGGGCTACAACGAGACACAAAGTCCATCGCCGGCGGGAGGTGGCGCAGGTGGCCATCCCGCGTTATACGAGGAGATGGTACGTGTAAAGGTGCAGCTGAGCAATACTGGGGATCGCAAGGGACAAGAGGTAGTCCAGGTCTATGTATCCTTTCCGCCCGACGTGACCGAAGAGGGCGACTGGGTGGAGGTAGACTCTGACGTAGAGAAGAAGCCCGTGGAGAAACAGACGGAGCGGGTGAAAATCGAGTTTCCTCAGCGGGTTCTGCGGAACTTTACCAAGGTCGAGCTGGAGCCTAGTGAGCGACGCGAGGTGCAGATGACGCTCAGCCGGAAGGATCTGAGTTACTGGAGCACGCGCGAGCAGAACTGGGTGATGCCCGAAGGCAAATTCCAGATCTGGGTGGGACGCAGTTCGCGCGATCTGCCATTGATGGGGGAGTATTGAGTTTGCCTTACTGTATCTATAGACTAATTCTTGTACATAGATGTGGGACATAATAGATCAAGCAATGCCACAGCAGGCAGCATCCGACAAATATAGAATTTGTTCCAAGGAATCAGGCCGCCTCTTGTCACCATGAGCTCGCAGAGTGGATCTGTGGCTGCGCCGAATCTTCCAGCTCGACGGTGAGCTTTCGGCAGCGCAAGGCTATTGACTGGACCCTGAGGGTCTATTATTGACTGTCGGCCAATGACAGGAGCTGCAGAACGTGAAGCTCTTCTATTTGACCAGAAGGGTACTCAACCCGAGACACGGAGTGGAGTAACCGTCGATCATCGGCATCATCGGCCATGTCATTGCTGGATGAATTTTTCTTTGCCGTACGGCATCCCCTGCCAAAGTAACCTGCCCATCAGTGCCTGTAAGAGAATGAGCAAGGGTACGTCAACGACGTAGCATGATCAGCCGTCCCTCTGTTTCAAGGGTATTAACCGTCGGAGCCACCGGTAGAAATCCAGAAGGAGACAGACCCGGGATCGTCAGGGCCAAGTGGAGATGGGCGCTCGAGATGCCTTATGGGGCAAGGCTTTTGTCTTGCCTGAAAGAAATAGATAAGGGATGATGAAAATGGAGGGTTGCTGGTCAGAGCTGGTTTTTCGTCAGCTAGTGCTGGCAGATCAGGTATATAAACCTCTCCCTCTCCATATCTGATCCATCAACCCGTTCTCATTATCATTGTATAGCTACAGTACAAGTACATACAATTACCAAAAATGAAGATCCCAGCTCTTTTCTCCCTCCTCACCCTGGCCTCTGCCGTCAGCATCCCCGTCCGCAACAATGCCCACAGCCACAACTACCGCAGCAGCAACGGCACCAGCAAATTCTCCGTCATGTCCGCTCGCTCCGGCTCGCCCGTCCACCTCCTGCCATTGAACGCTGCCCACGGCAGCTTCTGGCTCGGCGAGTCCCCCTCCACCTACTGCCCTGAGTCCGTCGAGGAAGTCGGCGGCTGCCCCCCTGGCACAACCACCCGGTTCGCCGGCGAGACTGCCTTGGTACGTCCCATTCCTATGTCCACTTGTCCTAGACATACTAACGAACCCAGGACGTCGCCGTCCCCGGCGGCCAGCGCATCTACGTCGACCCCCGCGGCGCCCTGCGCTTCACCACCCCTCACTCGGCCTACATCCCCGCCGGCTCCTCCACCGGTCCCTTCGTGTACACCCCCGGCACGCCCTTCGGACACTTCGCGTACCAGGGCCAGGGCGCCGACGGGTTCGTCGCTTGCCCCAAGAGCAATGGCACCGCCACGCACTGGCAGGTGTATGCGGCTGTTGCGAACGTCACGGGCGGTGCGGAATGCCTTGGTTTTGATGCCCTTGCCGTGCCTTCGAATGATACTCAGGCTGCCGCTTGGGAGTATATCTAAATTCGGGTACTTGACATGACTGGACTGAATGTATGCTAGACTAGGATAGATGGACTGGACGGAATGGTCGTGGTCGTTGGAATAGAGTCAACTTTGACATGGACTATAGTTGACCAAAACTTTTCCTTGCGGCTGTGCTGCATATGAATGAAAGAGTTGCATGATCTCGTCTGTCTTCGTAGGTATAGCCTTAGGTCTCTGGATCAAGCTTGCTCCTGTAACCATTGCCTGCCCGATGTAGTGGATAAACTGCACCATGCATCTTGTATCCTTAGTATATCCTACAACCCTCTAGCCCACAGACTATTATTATTGATATGTTAATTAAGCTAATATCTAGGGTTGCACATCTTTGTATATAGGTATACGGGACCCTCATCTTCCTTTCTAAGGCGCTCGCTCATTATCGACTGAAAATAACCACAGGAGCGTCCAACGACTCAACCGGTATCTATCAGCTCACTTCTTTGCTTTCTGGGAATATAGACATCTAGACAGAGAATAAGAAGAAGAGGAGGAGGAGGAGGAGGAGGAGGAGGAGGAGGAGGAGGAGGAGGAGGTCTCTACGGTATCTTGGCAGCTACAACTACGAGGTTGCAACATCATCTTCATCAATTAGGGTTCTGCATTGCAACACCTGTGGATATTTCCTCATGGGGTTCCATATCATTCGCTACATCTACGAGCCTAAGGCACATATTGATCAGTAATGGGAATATCCTGTCGAAAAACTCAATTCATTGCCGTAATCCAAACGCATCGATAGCAGTCAAGCAAGTCACAATACCAAACCAGCAATGTCGCAGTAACTCAACAAAACCAAACCAACTGCAACAAATAGACCAGCATACCAAAGCAAGAAAACATACCTATCAATCAACCCCCAATCGCCCTACTCTCATCTCTTCAACCGACCTGCAATCTAGTCAGCATCCCCACTCACTCAAGTAACCACCTACCTACCGAAACCCAAGCGCAGGCTTATACCCAGCCTGCCCATCACTCGTATACATATACCTCTCGATCCGTCTCTGCATATCACTAATCGCTGCACCCATCAGCACCTGCACATCCAACAGATCAGCACTGCAATCAAAATCATACCAGATGCCTCCCGCAAAGGTGCGGTCCCAGGCCGGGGTGAGCGTGGCCTGGCCGCGGGCGACGCACTCGATCATGGCGCCGAGGAGGGAGTAACTGTTCTGGAACAGGCCGGTGACGGGGCAGAAGACCCACCAGGTGCGTTGGCCCGGGAGGTTGGGTCTGTACCCCGCTTCGTAGGTAAGACAGTCGTCGATGGGGATGTGGCGGGGGGCGGAGGGGTCGTAGTAATCTGTGGCTTGCTGGTTGGACATCTTGATGTTATCTGTTCTTGGTGTTGTCCTTACCCTGGTGCTTGAGTGAAGAAATAGAACTGTTGAGCAGAAAGGGCGAGAAGCTGTGGAGGTTTGCAATTGGAGTTGTGACTGCGTACTTCGAACAGGCAGAGCAAGAGAAGAGAGAAGAGCAGGGTATCCAGAGGATGATGGTGGTGAAGAAAGTCCATCTTGAGGAGATTTCTCACGAAATTTATATCCATCGCGAGCAGAGAAATGAGACACAATCTGTCGATATCAGACATCTCAGCACTCATACATCACGACAACACGGCAATGTCTTGTAGAGAGACATCTTGCCTTGAAAGGACGAAGATGGATGTCCTAGACATCAACCAAGAGAATCGGAGACACGGAAATGGCATAGGTAGAGAAGCTGCCTGAAGAGATGTCTTACCGAAGAACTGACCGAGACATCATGTCAAGGCATTGTCTTTGAGTCGATTCTGCGGCGAGGGAACAGCCGAGATGCAGGACAAAGAAAGGGAATCGATGAAGGACAGAATCGAGACTTGCACAATGGCATTGTGATACAAAGAATCTCGACTGGTGACTACGTTGAGAATGACAATGGTCAATTGCTTGTCCATTGTCTTGGAATCAATACAAGTAGATATCATGTCCGATAGCAGTAAAGTGATTTCTTGCGTGCATCTGCTGCTACGATGTCTGGCACAATGTCAGAACAGCCTTCGCAGTCTCTAGTATACCGTCCAACTATACCTTTTTGGTCTAGGGATATATCTGACATGGAACTCAACTATTTGGGAGGTGACACAGAATGCGTGCTCGCCTACGTCTAATAATCCTGTCTAGATCTAGAAGGTAACTCTGAAATTACTGACAATGTATTGATGCTAAAATGTACAGTACAGGGGAATCATCAATCATCAATCTGACATCCAACGCTCACAATTTCGACGCAGTACCTGGGGTCGAAATCTCATTGTACAACAGGCTGGTAAGGAAGTCCGCATAGTCCTCACCCGTCACCTGACCGGCAAAGTAACGGGCCGCCAGCTGGTACTTGTTGCCCTTGGGGGCCTTGGCGGCCAGGCTGTCGGCCTGCTCCTGGAGCAGACGCAGAGCGTAGGCCTTGTCGATCTTCTTGCCCTCGGAGCTAGTGACCTGGTGGTGCACCCACTGCCAGAGCTGAGACCGGGACACTTCGGCGGTAGCGGCGTCCTCCTACTCCCGGTTAGTTGTCGCACAAATGAAAGGAAAGTAAAAGTGAGAGAAACATACCATCAGATAGTTGATCGGGATGCAGCCAACACCGCGGAGCCAGCCCTCCATGTAGGAAAGACCGATGTTCAAATTCTTGCGGATACCATCTTCGGTGATCTTGCCAGGGACGTTGGTGTTGAGCAGATCGTTGGCGGTGATGTTGACGTCCTCCCGGCGGACGAACAGCTGGTTAGGGGTAGGCATGTACTTGTTGAAGACCTCGGAGGCAATGGCGGCGAGAGCGGGGTGAGCAACCCAGGTACCGTCGTGGCCGGCGCGCACCTCACGCAGCTTGTCGGCGCGCACGTTCTCCATGGCCTTGTCGTTGGCGGCGGCGTTGTCCTTGATGGGGATCTGAGCAGCCATACCACCCTGCAATTGTCAGCTTTTTCTCGGTTGATCAGGCGCAGCGAGGCTTACCATAGCGTGAACACCACGACGGTGGCAAGTCTTGATGAGCAGCTTCACATAGGATTCCATGAAAGGCACAGTCATGGTGACGTCGGAGCGGTCGGGAAGGACAAAGTTGGGGTGCTTGCGGAACTTCTTGATGAAGGAGAAGATGTAATCCCAGCGGCCGCAGTTGAGACCGGAGCTGTGGTCACGCAGTTCATAGATAATCTGCGCATGTTAGTACAAGTGGCACATGAGCTAGCTGTAGAGTATCGTGGACTCACCTCATCCATCTCAAAAGCAGCAGTGATGGTCTCAATCAGGACAGTAGCACGGATGGTTCCGCGGGGCATGCCAATGTAGTCCTGAGCGAGATTGAAGACGTCATTCCAGAGTCTGGCCTCGAGGTGGGACTCCATCTTGGGGAGGTAGAAGTAAGGACCGTAGCCGCGAGCAACCAGCTCCTTGGCGTTGTGGAAGAAGTAGAGACCGAAATCGAACAAGCTGCCGGAGATAGGCTCGCCATCAACGGTAAAGTGCTTCTCGTCAAGGTGCCAGCCTCGAGCACGAGCGATCAGGGTGGGAAGGGTGCGGTCTGTGCGGAGCTTGTACTCCTTGTTTCCTTGCTTGAAGTCGACCTGACGGCGGATAGCATCGTACAAGTTGACTTGGCCGTTGATCATGTTCGACCAGGTGGGGGCACTCGAGTCTATGCCTGTCAGTTTGTCTTCCAAATGCAGCCAAATGCAAGTGACGTACCCTCGAAATCCGCCATGTAAGTCCAGACATCTGCATTCAGAGCATTGACGACCATCTTGCGGTCCGTGGGACCAGTAATCTCCACGCGACGGTCAACCAGACCGGGAGCGGGAGGAGCACCCTTCCAGGCGTCATTTTCACGAATGTGCTTGGTCTCGGGGAGGAAGTCAGGCAGATGGCCCTTGTCAATCTCGGCCTGGCGATCGATACGGCGCTGCAGGAGGGCTTTGCGGGTAGGGTTGAAGGTGCGGTGGAGGATGGCGAGGAAAGCGCAAGCTTCCTTGGTGAGGATCTTGCGATGCTCGTTGTGCACGGCGCCCAGGATGGCGACATCCTTGAGCTGTACTTCGATTTGGCTCATGTTGATACTGTCTTTTCGAAGATCAATGGCTAAGGATTATGTGATGGATGAAGAGAAGTCACCCAAATAAAGTTCAAGAAGAAGAAGAAAAGGGATCAAAGCACGGCGCTGCGCCTAGACGACAATATATAGAAGGACGCATGCATAGTTCCTTCGGAAGTAAGTACGGAGACTACGTCAGAACGATGAACAGCCGCGGCCCATTGGAAGTTTGGACCAACTATGGGCGAAGAACGGAAACCTTGCAGGTCACCCATGTCCATTCCAGTCATCCAGCCGTAATCGGTAAGTTATCCTCATGATATGGGGAAGCGTTCTTCAGGGAAACTGTGGAAAACAATCCTATCACTGATGGACGACAGCCAGTCATCGTGCATATCCAGCGCTGGATGAGCGGAAGTTGACCTTTTTGGACAATATCACATGACTTTTCCGCGGACATTGCTTGCACTAAGCCCAAACAGGACATATAAATTACCAGTTATCTTACTAGCGCGTATCGATCTTTCGGCCGACTCCCCGCGTCCAGCCTGAGGTGTCCTTTGCTTCCCCTCACCCGGCGGCCGCCGCAGACCGATCGATATCGGCAGGGGTTGATTATCATCCACTGCTAATACTATTACTATATAATCATTGAACGCATCGAGACCAACTGCTCGTGGACTATGAACGGATGAATTTCTCGGCCGTTTCGGTGCACCGTCAATACCGTGAATACGGACTAACAGATGGTTACTAAAGGTATCAACTCCAGATCAAAATAGATCAACCGAGGGATTGTCCGCATGCCCGAGATCTCCCTGGCCGTTGAAGCCGCGGTCCAACGTCAGGATGATCTAGGCCTGAACCCTGCCTCTGCGTTTCGGCCTCGTTGCTGCCTCAGGCTGCCTGCCCGACTTGTCCCGATCAAGTTATTCTTCCAACAGGACTGTTACTATCAATACGACCATCAACACCAACATTCTACAGACATATTAGGAATATCAATACCAAGAATACAATCTATTTTCCGACCGAATACTGACTATTATATCAAACTGTTATATCTAGAGATTGTTGACATTGCGACCTTGAGTGTTGGCGTGCGGCATGTGAAGATGGTCGACCGCATGTGATACTCTGTAGCTCCAGAACAGAAGTTCTAGCTTCCGGGCCACATTCCGATTTGATATACGCTCGGGATCAAACGGGGTATCTGTTTCAGACTGATTGATAAGAGTCAAATGGAGTGTCTATCACGCTTTACTTCATACTCTCTGCATGGTATCAATCAACGCACAACACTCGCTGAGACATCAACTCCAAGATACAGCATAATCAGGCGAAAAGGCTATAAGTGATATATACAACCGCCGTTGGACCGTAGTGGCATCAACTCGTTAGACCGTCTCAATGTATCGTCGCACCTCCCTGTCAACTGCGTTAGCATAATCCCAGTCGTCATGCATGCGGAGAACACAAACCAGTCAGTCACCGCTTCCTCCCACAGGTGCACCTCGTGCTCTCGCGTCCCCCCAAAGTGATCCACGAATTTATCGCCAAATACCTCTCGTGCAACGCTGTCCTTGCGCATGAATGCAACCGTCGCTTCCTTCAATGTTTTGGCCAGTCGAACGCCCTGATCGCTGGCACCACCCATGTCCTCACCTTTAGACAGAGGCGGGACAGGAATTTCCAGCTTCTTCTCGACGCCGCGCCAACCCAACGCGACGATAGCGGCTAGGACAAAGTGCGGGTTCGCGTCAGCTCCCGGCACGCGCACCTCGAATCGAGTTGCTTTCGCGCTGGCTGTAGGCGGGGTGATTAGCCGGATGGAAGCGGCCCGGTGCTCCAGACCCCAGGATACGGTGACCGGGGCCCAGAAGTTCTCCACCAGTCGCTTGTATGAGTTGATCGTCGGTGCTAAAAGAGGCATGATGTCCGGAAGGCCTGTTAGAATACCTGCCAAGAAGTGTCTTCCCAGGTCGGAGAGGTGCGCTACGTCTGGATAGGGCGGGGATGGATCAGGGGTCGGGCGGAGGAAAGCATTCCTTCCGTCTTCCGTAACTAGCGAGATATGCATGTGTCCGCTATTGCCAGGCAAACCTTCGCGTGGCTTTGCCATGAATGCTGGCGTAATGCCATGTTTGGCGCCGATGGACTTGACCACGTATCTGAAAGGTCAGCAGTCGCTAAAGCTTCGTATGCACCGACCCAACGACTCACTTGAATAACCCAGCTTTGTCTGCCATTTCCTTCACTTCCCCGAATTGTAATGCCTGAACGCGTCAGCCATGCACTGCTCAACGGCGAAGGACAACTCACTGCCTCAAATACACCGGGCCCGCTTTCCGTGTGCCATCCCTCAATCTCGCAGTTGAACTGCTCGCATGCGTCAAATATACCGTAGTAGTAATCCTGGTTGTGTATGGGCCGAGTAAGACTGTATCCGAACATACCCTCCGTCAGCGCAGGCAACGCTTCGACAGGGTTCTTTTGGAGGAAGGCAGCGGTCGCGGAGGCATTCCGTTCGGGTGTGGGGTAATCGCCTGGTGCGCGGAATTGATAGAATTCATACTCCGCTGAATATCAATCAGTAAGCATGTCAAATATAATAGGGACTCAAGCAGAGCAATCCAACGCACCCCCGGCCATAGCACGGTATCCCGCTCCCTCCACCTTACTGAGCGCCGTCTTCAGTAGCCCCCGCGGACAGGCACAAACAGGCTCCCTGGTCTCCGGATCGAAAAAGCTGACAAGAAAGAACGGAATATCGTTCTCCCAGGGGATTCGACGAAAACTGCTCAGATCAGGCACCGCGACGAGATCCTGGTATCCATTCTCCTTATTACTGATCGCGAGCTCTTTAAAGTATGTCCGGTCGTGCATGTCCCAGCCAAAGATCACCGAGCAGAATCCGAACCCGTCAGCGGCGATGGAGAGGAATTTCTTCTTGGAGATGAGCTTGCCGCGCAGCTGGCCGTCCACGTCGACACCCGCCAGCTTGACCTTGGTGTCATTTTTGAGGATCTCCGCGACGTTCTCTAGAGTCACTTCGCAGGAGGATGTGGACGCGGACATGGTGATTTGAGGGGAGTTCCTGGGACGGTGAGTTGAGTCTGTGAACGCTACTACGGGCGGGGAATGAACTCACGAGCGTGGTAGCAGGGGGGTTGGAGATGCGGAAGATATGGGGCCGTGTCAAGTGTGGAGAGCCTTGGAGCCTAGGGTGCCTTATCGGAGCTTATCAACTGGTCTGTTGACCATCGACAAGGGCTCTTACCTTGGCCCTGTTTGCGATTGGACGGACGTGGTCGATTCATGGTAGTTATTTTGGAAGTACTAGTCACTTGTCCAAAATGATTGAAGAGACAAAGATAAGATGTCTTTCTGCCCAGTGGCTAACTATATTTCTTGCACACGAGCATCGCATTATCGCCAGCTGTTATCGTCACCGGCCATCCGGCGATTAGATAATTCGATCCACAGCTGCCCCGCGGCGGAACTGTGTCACAGTATCTCTCGTGCTGGGTCGTCGACTCCTGACCGTCTTTTCCTCCACAGTGTCTTGAGTGCTCAATTGCTGCTGTAGGTTGTCTGTCGTTTCCTGGCAACTTCCCAAGTTCATAGTAAGACCTTTTCCATTCACACTCCCCCTTCCTATCCATCGATTACCCCACATTATCCAACCTGCAGTCACTGATCGCAGCTTCACAGACAAGATGGCCTCTGCTCCTCGAGGAAGACTCCAAGGCAAGAATGCCATCATCACTGGTGCCGCAGGGTAAGTCATCTTCCAATTACTCAATTGACATACTGATCCCCGGCAGAGGTATCGGTCTTGAAACTAGTATCCTCTTCGCTCGCGAAGGCGCCAATGTCCTGATGGCCGATATCTCCGCCCCCGCTCTCGAGAAAGCCCTTGCCAAAGTGAAAGAAGTCGTCCCCAACGCGCCCCGAGTCGAGACAATCAAGTGCGATGTCTCCAAAGAATTTGAAGTCCAGGCCATGGTCGAGTCGCAGGATAGCTGGGGTGGAACGGACGTGATGTTCAACAACGCGGGCATCATGCACGCTGATGACGCTGATGCGGTCGATACACCAGAGAAGATCTGGGATCTGACACAGAACATCAACGTGAAGGGTGTCTGGTTTGGCTGCAAGCATGCGGTGCTGAGTCTGCGTCGTCACAAGAAGAACAGGGGTAGCATTATCAACACGGCGAGTGTGGTTGCTCTGGTGGGAAGCGCCACACCCCAGCTGGCCTACACAGCCAGCAAAGGTGCTGTTCTTGCCTTGACTCGGGAGCTGGCGATTGTGCACGCTCGTGAGGGTTTCCGGTTCAATGCTCTCTGCCCTGCTCCTCTCAAGTAAGCTCCTTTTATCGCTAGACAGCGAGTATCTGCTAATCGCGTATAGTACTCCTCTTCTGCAAGACTGGCTGGGTGATGATCAGCCCAAGCGCCACCGCCGCGAGGTCCACTTCCCGACAGGCCGTTTTGGCGAGGCCATTGAACAGGCGCATGCGGTCGTGTTCCTTGCCAGCGACGAGAGCAGTTTCGTCAATGGAAGCGATTTTGTCGTAGATGGAGGCATGACTAAGGTATGAGTTTTACTTCATGGCTCAGACAATCAGGCTGACATATAACAGGCTTACGTTACCCCTGAAGGCCCCGCCACTGCTGCTCCTAAGAACCTTGGCCATTGATCTCATCTCGAGTAGCTATCACTTCACATACCGTCGGAATACAACATCTGAGCCTAATCAGCACATTTCTTTTACAATCTCAGGTCCGCCGTGTAGTATACACCGCATTCAAAAAGGCAAATATCTCCAAACTGTTGCAGCCAGTTTTTCCAACCCCTCGCGCGGAAATACCAAATCTCCTTCTGTATCATCACTCGCAGGCCGCAAAAAAGGATTCTCAAATTTGATTCTCAGCGTATCCCCAGCAACAACAACCACCCCCTCCTCATCTCTAGAAATACTGACCTCCTGCTCCTTGATCGGAGAACCACCCCTCTGCGTCCAGTTCTCAATGACGACCCTCCGTGCCGTTCTACTCACCCCAACAATCAACACCCCTCGCACCTGTCCATCCGACTGACCAAACCACCACTCCTTATGCAGCCGCAACCGACCCAGCATATCCTCAAACCCCGTCTCAATAACGTAGTTCGGCCATTTGTGTCGCAGTCGCAGCGTGTGCTCCACCATGTACGAAGCATTCGGCTCTTTGGCATACGGTCCATCTTCCACCGTCGCTGAGCCTGTCGGGATGAGTTCATCGCAAAGATCCGTTTGTAACATAATAAAGCGTGTAAAGTAGCCCGTTGCAATCTCCAGTGGGAACCTGGGTGGGTTGATGATCAGTTTGCGTACGTCTGCATTGTAGAACATGCGTAGGGGCTTGGGGTCGCCGCCTGCACGTGGGTCGATGATAAGTCGGCTGATGGCGTCTGGGGGCACGGAGGAGAGGATGATGAAGTCGATGACGGGGGTTTGGCCGAGTTGGCGGCGCAGTGCGGCTTTGATGGTTTTGATGTCCGGAGCGATTAGCTCGGGGGTGTTGGGTGGGAGTTCGGAGAGGAACTTGGAGCTGAAGTCGAAGGTTGCGGCCATTTTGTAGTTGTCGATGATGAGCTGGAGGGGATGTAGGAATGCAGTGAGTGCAGTCGAGGCAGGGTTTTTCGACGAGAACCATGGTAAGTATGATCTAAACTGTGGTGATGTCGTTAGGGTTGCGTGGGATCCTCTGATATGCCTTAGGCAGATTCGGAAGACGGGAGATATGTACAGCTGCCTATAGTATGTATGTATGTTGAGGTCACTTTAGTCGGGTTAATGAGTCAGTACTTTATGGTGCTTGTACTAAATAATAAACATGATTCGAATCTTTAGTGAACGGGAACTGGTCGATTTCAATTTACTGATAGCAACGTTATGGCCATACACTCAACGATTGCATGGGTTCTCTCTGGCTCCATCCTGTCGCTCTGTTCTCCTTCCCTGAAATACCATTCCTCGATCTTATCTGGTCGAACATCCTGCGCGGAGGCCGTGTATATGGACCATTATCGACATCGAAATGACCCGTCATTTAATGGCATCTAGAGTTTAGAGGCCGGCTTCCCCCAAGAAAACTTGTCGAGGTTCTCGTCTGGTGCTCTCATTTCGGATACAATCATATTAAATGCAAGAATCCGAAGAGCTCCATTGGTCCAAGCATCAAGCTCACTAGATCAAACCACACCCTAAACTAGTAACTGCTACCTATATTCTGTGTGTACCCCCTAGCATCTTTAGAAGACTGCCTGAAGCCAGTCGACAGTGTCAAATTGCCCATTTCCCCGTCTGTTGTGGGTATAATGCTGCACCCATGGACACACTGGGTCAAAAGTTTGACCTTCTGCTCGTGAGTCTCTTGGCTTCCAAGACGTGCACTGGTGGCCACAAGGATCTCAAAGATACCAAGCGGCAATGAATCCTCATGCATGATAGCTGGATTTCCGATGCACAACCTGTCTGACTTGAGGCCCTCATGTAGCTCGGTGTCAATATAAGCCTCAATGTCGGGATTATTCTCGGGGATAAGCAATGTCCACTTCCCATTAAGAATGCCAGCTGCGACTTTGGCATGACCCCATCAGGCACTCTTGGATATAGTCATGGATCCACGTTTGGCATGACTCTGCTTAGCAAGGCGCGGTTCTTAGTATTGTAGCTTCCTGGCAAGAGGGTAAGACTTTCATAATCGCAGCTCGGCACGTTGCAAATACACTATATTACCTTCATTGAGCAGTGATTATGAAGATCCCATAACGTTACTTACAGCCATGATAAAAACAGGCCTCGACGTAGGTGAAAGCTTTGGTGGGAAAAAAAAAAGACTGATGGGGAGGAGGAGGTGGTGGTGGTGGTGAAGAAAAAAAATTCAGAGACGGGGAGGGGGGGGAGGGGGGTTTTATTCAACGTAGACACTTAAGGTATTCACACCGGAGACGTGTTACACGAACACAGACACAGAAGACTCGTCAGATACGAGCCAGGTACGTGCCACCAGTAGGGTCCCGGGCACCACTCTTACAAGATTGTAAGAACAGCGCTCGAACTTGCCATTCCATAGGCAGTTCGCACAGCAACCTAGCGCGACCTTGGTATTCAGGCGGCACAATACACGGATGGGCGGTTCCATGATGGAATCGAAGGACACCAGGTGAGTTCTGGAGCGTCCAGACTTTTGCGGTCCACTGGTATGGACGCACATTCCATCCTGGAAGATTGCCTGCTCGGGACAGATGTCTCGCTGGGTGATACACGGTTCCCCTTGGACAGCATTTCAGGTCGGTTTCGCCCGTGGTTGGATTACGCCAGGAGGACGGGACAATGTCGTCGAGGGTGATTGCGCGGGAGGGATAATCAAGGACTTTGTGCAGTCCAGGCACCTGCTGAGAGGCGACCTGAAGTGTTCCACTAGCCAACAGGAGTGCCAGAGGGAGCTTCATTGTTAATCTTCCGATCTGCTCTGGGGAGATGAGGCCGCCAAGCAGGTAGTTTTTCAAGAAAATTGGCCGATAAAGGCCACTAGCCGCTTCATTCGGGATGATTCCTTGCTCGACCAGATGGTCTCGATACATAACATTCGTTGGGACTTCCCTCACTGCTGACACTCTCTTCTTGCGGTCCTTAACTTCAAAATCAACGAAGTATTGTAGATCAGTCGGTATGAACATGAATCCTGGATCCTGACTTCGGTCGAACTCAAGGTTACAGTTGTAACATAACGGGACACCGTTTGCCGCTGAAGTTAACTGAAAGTTCAGGAGCGTCCAGACTTTTCAAGGAATATGTTCCAGGTCTGCTTGTGAAGTTGAGGGGCCGATTGCTGTACTTCTTCTCCACGGTGAGGGATTTATCCGTGATTACCTTGAAAAACTGCACATCGGTGAGCTTGACGTGTTTGGGAGTGTCGATTGGTCTAATACGTAAGGCTCAACCCAAGGCGGTATTGCGCTGTCGCGGTTCAACCAATGCTGAGGATAGACAGGTCTTTTGTGCGGAGCAATGTTTTCCATTTGTCTGGGTTATCTGGCTGTCGAAATTGTATGTGTCGGATCAGACTGGAACAACGGCCCCCTCTCACTTCTCATTAGTGACCCTGGGGCTTGCAGGGTCACCAGAAACAAGGTTGACAATCCTGACCTTCCTTCCGGATCTAACTAGCGCCCACGTCACCAACCTAAAGGCAAATCAGTAACTGCAACCAACCCTAGCGATCAAGGAGACAGACTCAGAATGCGAGGAACGCAGCAGACAACGCAATTAGCACGAAGACAGAAAAATCTTCAATCACCATTCAGTTGCTCCCCAAATGATAAGCCTGACTTCGACTTCATTAGGTTCAAGGGAAAGTTGTTTCTGGTCTCCTCCGCTTCCTCGAGTTTGCCTTCATCGATCAGCCTTGCGATTACCTCAAAAATTCTTTCTTCTTTGTCCTTCAGATACAGGCATTGCAGATGGTAGCCGCCGACAGCGTTCAACACTATCAGAATCTTCTTATAGCCCTTATATACTTGAGTCTAAACACTGTCAGCAATCATAATGGCCTCACGTCTGTGAGTATGGGATGCTGCATGATTAGGGAAGGATAGATGTACTTATGTCCTTTGGTAAAACGGAGAGTTATTTGCCCATGAAGGGCATCGAACGTATCGCCAGCAGTTATGGCAATGCCGTTCCGTATTAGGAAAAGTCTCTTATCGAACAGGTTTCGGGTCAGATCTCCTATTTGGAGTTAGACGTCAGTACATATATTCAAAATGATGGGAAGATTAGACGAACCGGGACGACAGCCGACAGCGCTCTGCAGTACAACCATACACAGCTTCAGTAAATGAACGTCCCACGAGACAGTGCCATGGTTAATAGCGTCGTCCAACCAAGCAGTTGCCATTTTCTGTACAATATATTAGCCTGCCCATGCTTGGGGGATGACCGCCCTTCCACCAGCAGACCCTCCTGTATGAGTCTGTTGATACATAAATCAACTTTCATAGCCATTTGCGTATCAATCTGGAAGGATTGATATCTGAATTTAAGTGCTGTGAAGGGATGCACGATGCCATGTCTTAGGGGTTGTGCATTGACTGTATTGTTACATTGAGGTCTGGGTTTGAGTTTTAAGATGATTGTTTCAAGGAAATGAACAATGTCTTCTGTGGTTGGCGGTGTTTGCAGTTGTCTGGATTTCTAAGTTTGATAATTTTTATTAGCATTGACGAGAAACCAGGATCTTTGCCATCTATAGTCAGTAACTCACTTTGGATGTATTATCTCTTGATATAAGTAGAGGGAGGAAACGAAAGTTACCAATCAGCTTGACCGTCGAAAGTGTTATCCCATATATGTGAGTGAACTGTCGTAGCTCGTCCGTCGGCATCCTTCAATAACTGGGGCTGGCAGGCTCTCTCAGCATAGTGTCCATGCTGCGTCGGATTGTCTCGCAATCTGCACAACCACCTAGTCGCAGCCGATATCCTGCCCCGCTCCGATCGAAGATTTGTTGCCCAAAGTGGTCCACCTTGGCAAACTAACCAGATCAGCACCGGGAGCAGGAACAGAAACAGGCACAGGAAACGATTGGCTAGGCTTCTAATTTAGCTTCGATGCATGGTTCCGAGATAGCACGCACCCCATACTGTCAGACCACCTGCGGGATCTCTGCTCGACGTTTTCACAGTGCTGCTATGGGAATAGGGCCAAGGGACAATGCAGTCATGTTGTGTGGCAGGACTGTTCGTGCATCTGAGTGTAGAAGGTGAAGTGGTAGTACACGGTTTGGGTTGAGAAAGCTATCGAGTGTCTCTCCTTGTAGGACGGATGGTTCCTGGGTGGTGCGTTCGACCTCCGGGACGTAGCTCCATGCCAAGGGACAATGCGTTCACATGGCTGCCTCTCAAAATCCCCGGGTACAGAAGGTAGAGGGGCACTCAAAGAAAGAAAAGGGATGCAAGGGAGCTTTCTATACCCCGTACTTTCCATTTCAATCCGGGCTATGGCTCGCTACGTCCAGAGGCGGAATATCCCCTGGACTAGCGCCAGGTCTGACCGACTGGCCCAAAAACATCCGCCGTGTTAGGCTTATTGCCCGAGTGCCCGGTGCTACCCCTCGTGGAACTCGCGAGTTTGGCATCATAGAAGAGCCGCAAGATTTGATAGTGCGTTTGACAGGAGCTTAACATAATCTCCCAGTCCAGGGGGCCGTCTGGCGGCGGTGTGTATGCGATATCGATATATCAGCGTCGATGATATATGCACTTTCCTGTTGTGCAAATTTTGGAGCTCAGTTTCACCATAATTGAAGAAAAGAAGGAAGACTCAAAACGAAAAGGTGAGGTCATGGCGTCCATTTCACCCTTTTCTGCCTGGTCAGCCTTTCTCTCGTTCACTCCTAAAAATTTCTTTCAACCGCGGCTCACTACTATATGTACGTAGTGGCAATGAAAGTCTTACCAGCATTTCGATGGACGAATCCGTCTTCCGCTTTTTCAACGTATGGGCTTTCTTTTTTTGGATTTTCTTTTTCTCCTTCTGACGAAGGGCACTGGGGCGTTCATCGGATTTGGGGGCTTCCATTCGGAAGCACCCCCGGACCTTTTAGCTTGGAGACCATCGAGTAGCTTTCTCCTTTGCTGCCGAATCAGCCTTGCGTTCGTTCATCTTTTTCGGAAAACCATTTCCTCGATATTGCTTTTGAGACAGGGACCGGTTTTTTCATGACAGGCTTCTGGCCATCGTTCTTCACATTAACCGAAGGAGAGCTCTTCTTTGACTTGGAACTGTATAAACCACATCGTTAGTATCATACTTCCATAGACGATCAAGGTGTAGCTTTGTCTTTGATAGACTTACCTTAAGTGTAGCCAGAAGAGACAGGATAAACTCTTTAGAGCTGAACAGTGGCTTTCATCTTGATGGGGTTTCAACATTGCACACGCACTGTATTACCTTCATTAAACATTGATCTCAGAGATTCCACAAGTTGCTTGCAGCAGGCATACCTCGCCGTCGGTGTTTAAACGAAGCCCCGACAAGATAAGCCGAGGGCTTTGCTCGCCATTCCCGGAACTCCTGGTCGACACCGATGTTAGCATGTTAATAAGCCAGGAAAGCTATGGAAACGTACGGGTCTTCACAACGAGTGCCGGAGACGGCACTCACGAGGGACCTCACGGAATGGTAAACTACCATCGTCGCTAAGTTCGATTAGCACCTGGAGAACCACATGAAATCGCAGAATTGTCATCGTAGATAACACTGGCCCACAAAACGGGATGGTCGTGGTCCAAGCGCTTATCATGGTTGTGATAGAATAGATACTGGTCATTATATCGCCTTCAGGGGGAAGTGAAAATACAAGTATAGCTGAATTGGCGAGAAAGGAGAAGGTCACCTATGGTTCCATGATAGTTGCATGGAGAGATGGAAAATCGCTCAGGCAGTGGATGTGTAGACCAGCCATGGACTATCAAAGATGTTGCTGAGAATATATCCAGAAGTCCATGTATAGGCTTAAGAAGAGATGACGGAATCTAAGCAGTAAGAGGGAAGCCGAAGGACTAAATATTCAACATAATATCAGTCTATTCACTATCAGAAACCCAATGAATCAACTATAGATCATTCTCATTCACCATATTCCCTGAAACAAATAAAACAGTGAATCTACAGCTCAACGCTACTGATTGGCCAGCCATTAATCGCGTTATATGCCTCCAAAGGCGTCGTCCCATGCAGCATCTCGTAATGCCTCCTCTCTCCACAAGCCTTCTGCCCCTGCAACTTAACACATTTGCCCTGCAGCAGCGCAGCCACATGCTCTCCTACTTCTTTCCCCTCGTACCAAGCCCCATGCGCAAACCCAAAATACGCCGAAGACGTCGCCTCCCCAGCAAACCACAGCCGCTGTACATTTGCTCTCAGATTCTGATGGATCTCCAGCGTCGTGCCAACCGGCCAGTTGGAGTAGCTGCCATAAGCCCAGGGCTCCTCCGACCAGCGCGGGTAGAAGAACGCTTTCGGCTCGGGGACGTGCTTGTCCGGGAACATCTGCCGAAGGACATCGAGGATCTCAGCTTGCGTTTCAGCATCGGATTGCCTCTCAACCCGATAGGCTTCTGTATCCACAACCGTCACGAACAGGACATTCGAACCGGGAAGGAAACCCTCCATCGACAGAGACTGGAACACGGGAAAGTACCCTCTTGTCGTCGGCGACGCATACAAAAAGAACTGAGTATCGTTCGGCCAGAACATCTCATCGAACTGCATGAAGATCTTGGTATACGTGCCCATGGTGTACTTGTGGATAGCAGTTTGTTTCCACTCCGGCAGTGCAGGACGGAATCTGACTGCATCGTTTTGCAGAACACCAAGAGAGAATGTACAGACGGCGTACGCAGCTTCCACGCAGCTACCGTCCCTGTTGCGGATGGTGACGCCTTTGTCGGAGTACTCGATCTCCGTGACCTGTGTCTGCAGCCGGACCCGAGGATCCATCCTCGGATCGCCATTCTCTCTGTAAAGGAATGTCGCGGCCTCGCCGTTGATGATGGCGCTGTAGCCGCGCGGATCGATGACCATCTCGTTCCGCAATCCGAACTGTTGGAAAGTGATATTCTCACTGGCGAGTCCGAAGACAAGGGAGCTGGTATCAGGTGTTTGGGCGGATTCCCAGTCTACAACCGAGATCAGTGATGTCGGCCTCGAGGTGACGGGAGGGTTATACCCCAATTCCACCATTCCACTGCCTGCGCTGCCGAATCATCTTTCCGTGGTCGCCAGCCGGCCAGCGCGAGGCCGGTCCGCGCCGTCTGATCCTGCAGGTTCTCGATCATGATGCGCCCTGCTTCTCTTGAGGCGGTGCGGTAGGCCTTGGCATACTCGCGCTGGAGATGTCGGTAGTCGGTGAAGCCGGTTTCGTCGTAGGTGCGTATCGAGCTGTAGTTGGAATGTGTGACACTCAAGTTATGCTTTCTGGCCTGGGGCTGTTAATATTTGCCGTAATCCGGAGGAGAGACGCACCAGTTGCCAAATAGGGTTCTCTGAGCACGTTAGCATGAAGGGATATTGAGCTGGACAATACACACCTCTCACGCCCATTCCAACTCCATGTACCTATGCCAGTCAACTTTCATCTATGCACGAGATCCTAAGAGCCGCATACCCAGTTCGCCCCCAGCTCTATCACATACGGCTTCCCATTCTCATCCTCCCCAAACTCCTCGTGTCTCAATCTACCCCCAAGCCGATCTCTATACTCGAGGATAAGAAAATCATCAATAGATGCATTTGCCAGCGCTTGCTGTTACGATCAGTCACTTTCATCGCATATGGAAGTATACTACTTACAGCGGCAGTAATCCCTGTCAGTCCTCCTCCTCTTCTACCGTCAGCACTTGCTGATATATTAGAATATTCACTTACAAGATAGCCACGGTAGTCTTTGCGCACCTCCCATCATCCCTGAAAGGCACCTGCTGCGCCACATATCCCTCACAATTCCGCAGTATCCAACCCGTTACAAAAGGAAGTACATATCTCAACCGCATCTTCATCAACAACACTCAACAGTTCGGTGAACAAGACAGAAAAACCATATCCGAATGCCCCGTCATATTTATCTTATCGCTCCAAACCACAAAGAGCAAGAACAATGAAGAATGAGGCGTAAAACGGACCACTGAGACCTCTTTGTACTACTTTTGGGCACATGATCGGCGAGCGGGATATCTTGTGATCGAATCAAACGATGCCTTGGCATGTAAGGCTTATCGGGACGACTGGGAACCGTCCACAGGGGATGAGAGGAGTGACGAAGTGGGTAAGTCCAGGCGGAATGGTCATGATCATAAGAACTTATTCGTCGATTTGTTAAGGATTCGAAACTGAGGTGCATGTTTGCTTGGTGGTTGTTGGCCACTGATGAGGTCGGAATAGAAGTAAGGGAGGTACATACAACTCTAGGCGGGGATGAATTTGATAAGTTCTCGAAGTTATCAGATGATCAGCTGGATGGTTCTTTAGTATCCTCGTGATTATTCCTACTATGCCTGAAACCCAGGAGCAACTATATACCACGCGAAGTCTTTCAGCACATGCGTACTCCGAATAGGCCCTTCTATGCCAATAACCCTAGGAATCTGGCACTTGGACTTGCATCAAAAGACACGTACCTAAATCAAGCCAAGAGGTCATTCTGCTATAGTGGTCCATTTCAGAAGTAAATCGTCCACCTCCGCATCAGCAGCTTTCTTGGCTTCTAGCTCTATGTTCACAGCAGGAACTGGCATATCAAAATAGACCTCGTATCCAGCCAATGCCGTTACCTTGCCCCTGGAAGGAGCCTGTCGTTGCCGAGCAATGTGGTTGACCTGCCGCCTGGTTGTTCTGGTAATAGACTGGCCTTCCGACGGAGCATGAACAGAGGCCATGTTGGGACCGATACGCCGAGGAACGCCCTCAATAGTTCCTTCGTAGTCGCCGAAAGCTCTGCCACGCGGCGGATAGGGATTGGTCATTTCCATCATCGGAGTAGAATGCTCGATCTGACCAGCGTACGGGTTAAAGCCCGATGACTGTGAAGGTAGACGATCTCTATCGTATGGCTCGGAAGGGAAACTCCCATGGTGTGCAAATTCCTCGTCTCGTCTTCTTTTCGCTCTTTCTTCTTTGCGGCGTCGCCTTTCAGCCTCAATCTCGTCATCCTCTTGATTCTGTGTATCGACGACATCCGTCTCAGGAACAAGACTAAACAGCGGATCCTCGAATAATCGAGTAACAATCTCGCCGTGAGCCCGTCGAAACGCCTCAACCTCGGCTGCATGCACCTTGACCACTCCGTTCCTGAATCTCGAATACCGGCTCCGCTCAATGCCCGATCTGCACGCATCCACTTCTTGGAGTAGCCGCTTAACGAGCCGGTGATACGTCCGCAGTTCACGTAATGCGTCCTCCTGTGCCAGGGACTCGTACGGAGGTAGCGCTTCTTGCCCAGCTGATCCCTGAGAGCTGTTGATATCGGCAGACTCAATATCCTTGACCAATTGATCGAATCGCCTCAATTCCGCGAGTCGCGCCTCGCTTGCCTTCTTCTCCTCCACCAGCACCTTGATCAAGTCCTTCTGCTCCTGGCGGACAGACAACTCGGCCCGACTGCAGAACCGTCAGCTCATTCACCACCTTCCCAAAGCGCAAATACTCACCCCCGCAACTGCCCCGCATACATAATCACATTCAACAGAAGCAACATCGTCGACTTCAACCTCTCCAGATTCCCCTTCAACATGTCCAGCTCCCTCTCCATCAACACAAACCCAAACCGCCTCGCCGCCCGCTGAATCGCATTCTTCGTCGCATCCGCCCGCGACTCATCAACCGCCGCGCTAATCCGCTTAAAAACCTTCTCGCACTCCCGCAGCACCTCCTGCGCCGTCTCGAACGCCTGCGCAGAATACAGCCGCGTCTGCTCGTCCTGCTTCAGATTCTCGCCTAGCTGACGGAGGATGCTACAGGTGAGCGCGACCTCGCTTGAGAGACTCTGCGCCGCGTGGTCGGCGGATTTGAGCTGGCGGTAGAAGGTGCACAGCTTGACGGAGACGGTGGCGCCGAGGTCGGCGATCTGGAGGATGCTGGCTGCTACGCCGAGGATTTCGAGGCCGGACATGCTTCGTCTACGGTGTTAGGGGACCATTTGGAGTGGTGCTGTACTAAGTCAAGGGGGTAGCGTGGTATTGTGTGAGAGGTGGGTGGAAAAGCTGAAGCTGATACCCCGCTTTGCCTAGTCGTTCACACACTCCGGATGACGCCATAATCAGTTAGAAACGACTCTGTAAATCCCACTGTTTTGGATCCATCATAAACTGCCGATCATCCCTATATCAGAAATGTCTCAAAGACTTCTTCTTTACGTTGTTTAATGGGAACTTCTTGTCTTCTACAGCTGTATTTTCTATTTCTGATTAGCGAGATACATGAATAAATAACTATATGATGGTTGTGATGTCATAAGAACACAATGTTTTAATATATAGAGAGTTATTCTTATATCAGTAGAATACATACTAGATAAGTCTTCAAGATTACTTAACTGAATAGTGATAAAGCTGGCTATTCAAGGCCGAACAATATGCTGAATCAATAACCATGGGCCGCAGCTGCTGTCAATAAATCAAGCTTTCTTCCCCACGGGAAAGATGACCTAACCATGGCTGTAGCCACAGGGCATAGGATCTGATTAGACGATGATGTAAACATGATACACGCCCTGACACACTGAACCTTATGTTGGGGGACAATAAAATGGCGTAGCTTTGGCTGCTTCTCACTCTACTCAAGATACCATAGATCTAATACATCATTAGATAATTACAGCATGTATGCATACGCAAGTAGTATACACTCATTCCAACGACGGATCTCAGAGCACCAGAAAAAGAGATGGCAGGAAGAACAGAAACTCGCCGCCTGGTCGGGTCCTACTTCAGAGGTATCCCGTCGTCCCATCACTCTGCCGCAACGAGCTGACAACTTAGATCCGATACACCGGCATCACCGCTAAAAGAGTCGACGAGCAGAGTATTCACATTGTAATCGCCGTCCGAGACGCAGTCTACCCGCTGGACTTTCTCGAACATCGATTCCATATCTCCGCGAAGAACCTCGATGTCAACATCACTGATTTTATCCTCGAGCAGCTCCGGAAATATAGCCTAGATCATGCGGAAAAGTTCATCGGTACCTGTCTTCCAACCGAGTTGACAGAGATATGTCCCCGACTGGCCTCCCGGCTTTGGCTAGAGCTCGATGTGATGCCGCTGGTTGTCCCGCAGCATGATGCGCTGGGCGGTCGCTACGAGCAGGAAATTCCATGGGAGACACGGGATGCAGATGAGCAGGCGGAGTATCTGGCCATGAGATGCGTGAGGTATATTCGACAACACGGCCAGGCTGGATCTCGTTAACGCAAGCAGATTTTTCGGTCCGAATAACATACCACTCCTGCAAGTTGGATTCCGCGGTGTAGTCGAAGTGGACTCTGGATTCATGATGCATCTGGCAACGCTCGACGATTACAAAGGCACAGTTAGCGAGCGAACATGGATGGCGCTTGAACGGCTTGCAGCACAGGTTCGAGAGAAGAAAGTCCGGATTGCCCTCTTCAGCGCAACACCCCAGGGAGGCGGAGTCGCCCTCATCCGCCATGCCTTTCTTCGACTGAGCAAGCTCCTGAACCTGGACGTGCAATGGTACGTGCCGCAGCCGCGATCCGGCGTTTTCCGCATCACCAAGATGAACCATAATATCTTCCAAGGCGTCGCAAAGCCCAACGACTATCTAACCGAAGAGAATGAGGAACAACTTCGACGATGGGTAAGCGTCAACAGCGAACGCGCCTGGTCCTGTCCCGGCGGACCTCTTGACCATCCGTCCAACGGTGGCGCACATATCGTCGTGGTGGACGACCCGCAACTGCCGGATCTGATTCCCATTGCCAAGGAGAAGGCACCAGACCGGCCGGTGATCTTCCGCAACCACATCCAGATCCGAGTAGATCTGGTGTGCAAGCCTGGGACACCTCAGGCCAGATCATGGGACTGGCTATGGCATCGTGCGCAGCATGCCGATGTGTTTATCAGCCATCCCATTCCCGACTCTGTGCCGCCTACCGTACCGAACGCGATAATCGGCCACTCTCCCGCATCGACGGATGTATTGGACGGACTCAATAAGGAAATGATCGATTCGGATGTCGCATACTATGGCCGGCTGTTCAACCAGTGGTGCCACGAGTCAGGAATGCCAACGATCGATTACCCAACTGACGAGTACTTTGTGCAAATCGCCCGGTTTGACCCGTCAAAGGGAATAATCGACGTCTTGGACTCGTATCACAAGTTCCACACGCGTCTGACACAGGCCAAGCCTGACAGTAAGATCCCGAAAATAGTCATCTGCGGACATGGGTCTGTCGACGATCCAGATGCAAGTGAAATGTTCGACATGGCCATGGATCATATTCATATAGCAATGGCTCATCTCGCCGATAAGATTGCCGTTGTCCGTGCGAAGCCATCTGACCAGGTCCTGAACGCCGTTCTTTCCAAGTCAAAAGTTGTCCTTCAGCTCTCCACCCGGGAAGGCTTTGAAATCAAGGTGTCGGAAGCACTCCGCAAAGGCAAACCCGTGATTGTTACGGACGTTGGTGGCTTGCCGTATCAGGTTATTGATAAAGAGACGGGATTTATTGTCAAAGTACGGGATACAGACCGAGTCGCGGAATGCCTCTATCGTTTGTGGACCGACGCAGACTTGTATCGGCGAATGCAGGTAAAAGCTCCTGGCTCGGTCAGTGACAATGTGACGACGGTTGGTCTGGTCAGCTCGTGGCTGTATATGATTCGGAAGCTCCTTGAGGACCATTCATGGAAACCTGGGAATCGACTACTCTTCGATCTGATGTTTGAAGATTTAGGCCTAGCATCGACCCACAATTGAGCCACTCCAGCATCAAACTACATGGGCGTAGTACGGCAAAACTCAGTAAGCAAGCGCTCCGGATCTCTCCTTACCTCGACATTTCGTGGATCACCTCGCAAGAGAGCTCCCCCTGACGCAGACCTTTCTTCATCCTGACTATCCTTCGCACCAACTTGAATTAAGGCTCTTATGGCATTCTTGCGAATGTGACAGATCAAGTCTCAAGTAGAGGAGATAAGCGGAGAATAGTCTTGACCAGATCTACGATGAGACGGGAGATCTCTATACGTCAGAGATGAAGAGAATAGTGTTGACGTGTAGGACGCGCTACTGTTTGTGTCCTCAGGCACCCAAATCCTTTCAGAATTGAGCAAGGTGTCCACCATCATTGGATATATTACCCTATGGCAAGGGAAGTAAAAATCATCCGGGATGTTCTGTTTAGTGTCATTATAACAACATCTGCTATAGGCTTAGCAATGCCATTGAGACTTAAATCATCTCTCATATGCCTGTCATCAATACCCAGTGAGTGTTGAAGGAATAAAGTCTGCTCAATGTCATTAAGGTGGCCCATCGACCTAGATTGACATAACGTATATATTGCAAACTGAACATGCACGGCGAAGCAGATATTAACTGATAGATAAATAACATATTGAGAAAGTCTATGTGGAATCATGCTGTTCCTGACAGCAAGCCGCCCACTCGGAGAAAACTCATCCCCTCATTTATGTACCAATCCTCACCCGCAATGACCACGCAATTTCCCCCTCAAACACGCTAAATATCATGATTGATTAAAGCCAATCTGATTGGCTGTCCGTGAATCGATAGTGGCTATGGGATGGAACCCCCGCAAGAGCCCCATTATTTATTCTTCCTTTCCTCCGCAGTTTCTCCTCTTCGGGAATAGGGTCATATGATAATCAGGCCACTGCTAACGCCACACCCGCAGCATCATGTTGTCCACCACTGGCACTGCCTCGATCCCCCTGAATGACATATTATCCTCTCTATCCCCATATCTGTCCTCTCAATTCTTCAACCGCAGCAACAACAAGATCGAGTGATCTTTAAGAACCACTACAAAAGAACCACCACAAACAAGACACACCAAAATGTCCTCATTCGCCTCACCTTCCCCGCACTCCCCACGGCCCACCTACCCCAGCTTCAAAGTAGGGAGGGTAGGAAAACTGTACGTTTCTGCGTAGTTATCAATGGATAATCACTAACATAATAGCAGATATCTCCCAGCCATGGCTGTCGTTGCAGCTGGTAGGTCCTAAGCTGTAAATCTTCCTAACGCAACTGACACGATGCAGGATTCGGCATAGCCAATTACCTCAATGAAGTTCAAGCCCAACAAGCTCGTTACCAACTCCAAGAGGAAGAGCGGATCCGACACAATCAAAAGCTGATGGATGCGTACGGAGACAAAGGCAGTCTGCACGATGTCCAGCATGCGTCGGAGGTTTACGAGATCAAATAAACTCCTGGCGTCAATGCATAATGATTAATGATAAAATGGTGTCGGTTTTGCATATATATTGCGTGTGCAATCATCGTTCATAATCTCTGCTGGCAGGATTATGAGTCGCTTACTTGTGGATTTTTCTGTTCCTCTCTATTGAGATAGCGCCGTGATACTTTATCCGACTTTGAAACAGGTGTCTTGCATTCCGACCTCGTGCCGCGGTGGTCTTAAAATGCGTTGTATTGTCTACTTTACACGGTCGATTACAATGCATTGTCCTGTTCAGCAATACTTCCGCTTCACAACTTCAATGTAGATCTAATAATGAGTAGATCGAGGCAATTCAGTCTTAAATTGACCATATATGGATAGAATAACTATTCTCGTACATTGAGCCAAGTGCTACGACCAACGGTGATTGACACGTGACTGTCCGCGGGCTGCCGTCCTGTGATGTACGTCATTCCCAACTGAAGTGGGTCTGATCAGACATGCTCGGTGTTAACATCTCAAAACATTAGAGAGGTATACAAGAAATGGAGCCAGAGCAAAAGAAACAATCAAATCCCGGGGTAAGGTCATATACACTATAACTATAGTTTACTCGCTAAGCTATTATATTCTAGTCAACCCACAGGGACGAAGAAGGTCTCCTTCGCGCCTATGGAAGGCTGCCTCAAAGAGGAAGATTACTTGACCAGCAGGCCAAGGTACGTTTGTCGAGATACAAAGCAACAGTTGGCTGATGCGTGAAAGGAACGAAAATACTTCGACTCTGGAGATTTCGCTCTTTCCACAGCTGACCGAGTAACTGATGTCGGGGCAATCAATACTGGCCGAGCCCATCCGCAGCGGGGAAGCGTTTCGCATCCCTACGCCCCAGTTCCTAGCACTAGTAATGCTGAGGAAGATGCTAACAAGGATGTTCGCGATAAACCATTTACAAATCTGAAAATGACTGAGAGCCCTCTTCATCAGCATAGTGATGTTGATGATAAGGCGCAGAAACTGGAGAAACCGAAAATTGATTGATATTCACGTGTATTGAGATTCTCAAAAGCAGTTAAGACTGGATGGTACCTGGATTCTTGTTAACTATATGATACTTAATGAACCTGCATGTGCTAGTCACATTTATTCAAGCCTCCTAGCGCATAACTCAGGAGCTTACTCTCATATCATTTGCATTTGAGTTGGAACTGACACAGCGAGCCTTCAGCCGTGAGCACATTCTCGCCAAAGAGCAGTTGCGTGTAATACATGACCGGCTTCGGAAAGTCTTTCCATCGGTGCGTGATCTCGCTGATCAGATCGGCATCGGCGACCCATAGTTGAGGACCGCCGGGACCCAGCAGCCAGTACACGTCCGATCCGAGTTCCTTACGCGGCAGTGTCCCCTTGTGCTGCCATGTCCCGTCACGAACGGCATATCGCATCCATTTCCCCCCAGCCGAAGAACAGGTATTTGAACAGCGGCGCGATGTAAGGCGAGGCCACATACACCACGGGCGAATACCGATAACGAGGGGTGTAGATCCGGAGACTTGGCAGAGGAGTCAAACCTTCGATGCGCAGTGCTTTCGGAATGTCGACACGTACCAGATGGCGTATCTCGATGTGATGGCGAGGAGCACCGACCAACAAATTATTGTCGCCACGTCCATGTGTCTTTCAATGTTCTTTTTAACAGGAGCGTCGTCATGAGAAGTGTTCGGAAAGAACACTTGCAGAAGTAAGCCAGTATATCAATTTTATCATTGATTGATTCAACTACCTAAATATACCCCCGAGGAAATCACACCTGAGGCCGATTAAGGAAGAAGCATTGATTACCTGGTTATTATCTTTTCTTCAGACGCACTAACACTAGTTAGCCGTTAAGTTAGAAGGATTTCTGTGGATGGTGAAGCCTGGAATTCCTACCGTAGTATAAAATGGGAGCCACCTGCCAAGGGTGGATCCAGTTCAGTATACTCTATACTGTCAATGCTTCTACTAACTGGGGTAGTTGATATGCAGTCCACTGAGTCCAGCCCAGCCCAAGGCCTAAAAGAGGACATTCATCGCCAGGTCGCGAGGTCACTTGGTGGCCTTTAATGGTATTACCTGGTAATTTACTATTGAGATCAGTAGAAATCTTGCCACTAGATTACTAGGTCTAATTCCATAGCTAGTTAGGTTCTGCCTTTGTCCCAGAGCTAGCAGTGACTAGTATAATAGTAGATTTTTATATTAGTTAAAATATAGGCTACTTTATGTATTACTACTAGGCCTCTTATATTTATACTCTACTTAACGAAGTGACAGTTAGCAGACGGCTGAAAATGGCTACTTCGATGGCCGTTTTATGAGTATTTCTAACTATCGTCTGCCTTGGGATCATCCTGGCTAATTTCTATGGCCACAGCTTCCCCTAATCTCTATGTATATTAAAGGTGCTGTTTTCCTAACAGTTAGCCTAAACTATTAGCCCTATGTCTGACATCACCTACCGAGCAACAATCTACGAGCACCAAGACGCCTGCCCTTCTGGCTCTAGCAGGTGAGCAGTGCCGCCTTGAGGTCGCGCGACAGGGTGATGGGGCGGGTGATAGGGGTGAGGGTCAGCCTTCGCCGTCCCACTAGTTTCACCGTGCCACAACTTGTGACCTAAATAATGTAATCTCATTAGTTGATTAGCTGAACCTAACGTGATTTTGCTGAGAGTACGCTGCTTGCTGTTTTAAGAGGCCTCAAGGCCATCAGATATAGGCAGAATCAGCACCACATAATCTTGCCTGTAAAGCGACGTTCAGTTCCCGGTGCTTGGCTAACTATCTAGATGGGATGTCGGCTATGTTCGATATTCTGTAGGGATATAGTTAGTTAGTTACTCTATCAGCTTGCTCTCACATGATTTATTGCTTTTGCCGCGGAGGTGTTGAGGCTGTACAGGCTCATCTACGGAACCCCACCAATAACCGGATATCTTGACACTGCCTTCCACTTATTTCCTCATTTTTCTGGGTTGCCACTCTGTCCCCTCCGGCGTCTTTCAAGTCCACATTGTTCGCATTCTCTTCTTCTCTTGCTCCTATTCTTGCTTCTATTCTTGCTTCTCCCCTTTATACTATCTCCGAGGGAGACCACTGCTTTGGGAAGATTCAAGATGGAAGGACTATCGGCGGCAGCAAGTGTCATCGCAGTTATCCAACTCACCGGGAGTGTTTTGAAAATATGCGGTGGCTACCTCAGAGAGGTGAAGAACGCACGCGACGACATCACCGCCTTGCAACAGACGGTCGAGGACCTTAGAACGATTGCGCTGAGGATAAGGGAACTTCTTGAAGATACTCGCAGCACAGAAATAGCCTCGTCATCATCGCTCATCAATAGCGTCTCTGGTTGTATGTCAGAGCTCTCGACACTCGAAAAGATGATTGATCCGGGGAAAGGGAAGGACCTTATGAGAAGATTTGGAATCCGGGCATTTAAGTGGCCCCTCCATCAACCAGAGGTGGACAAAATCATCCAGAATCTAGAGAGATACAAATCATCCTTCACCCTATTACTCCAAGTTGATCAAACGTATGTTCTGGATCGGATTTCTCTAGCTTCCTGGGCTGATCTTGGCAAAGTGCTCTTTTAACCGGAGTGGCTTCGAGTACGGCACGTATCCATCGGAATTTAAGTCTTGATAGATTGCCCGTTGCCCGAGGGGCCGAGTTTGATTCGTACATGGATCAACACGAGGTTGAGTGTCTTCCTGGCACCAGAACCCAGCTCCTTCGTCAAATCAGAGAGTGGGCCAGATCACCACAAGGGGAATACATATTCTGGTTGAATGGGATGGCCGGAACGGGGAAGTCGACCATCTCCCGGACGGTGGCACAAACCTTCAAAGAGGCACATATATTAGGAGCCAGTTTCTTCTTCAAGAGGGGCGAAGGGGACAGAGGAAGTGCTCTTAAACTTTTTCCGACAATCACAAGACAGTTAGTGGCACGCCTGCCTCAGCTGATTCCAAGTGTTCAGAAAGTCCTTGACGAGGAACCTGATATCACTGGGAAATCACTACCGGAGCAATTCGACAAGCTACTTCTTCAACCAATAATGAGCTTAAGACTATTCGATGATCAGCCTCCGACCGTGGTGTTAGTGATTGACGCACTAGATGAGTGTGAATGTGACGAGGATATAAGAATGATTCTCCAATTGTTTCCACGATTACGAAACTCCAAAACCTTGCGCTTCCGAATCTTTGTGACAAGTAGGCCGGAAATAGGGATTCGTCTAGGATTTTCAAGGATCGCAATCGGGGAATATGAAGATCTCGTTCTCCATGACATCCCCGAGCCAGAGGTAGCGCATGACATATCCTTGTTCTTGGAACACAGACTTTCAGCAATCCGGGCGGTCCATTCCCTTCCTGTCGATTGGCCTGGGGAAATTGATACTCATAGACTGGTGAAATTATCAGTTCCTCTGTTCATCTTCGCCGCTACAGCGTGCCGCATATTGGAGGACCCCCGGTGGGACCCGGTAGACGGCCTGGCTGAAATCCTTGCTCGCCGTAATGATGGATCTCAATTCGATAGGTTGTATCTCCCTGTGCTGAATCAGCTTCTTAAAGATCAGACTAAGCTGCAAGAAAGGCAGCTAGTTCGAGAATTCCAGGAAGTCATTGGTACAGTTGCGACGCTTGAAAGCCCACTATCAGTTGTCGCGCTTTCCAGGCTGCTGGGCGCCTCTGAAAGCCGTATTAGCCGGAGGCTAAACTCACTACCGTCGGTTCTTAATGTACCTAATAACCGGGCCCAGCCGGTGCGGCTCTTTCATTTATCCTTTCGGGACTTCCTTCTCGATTTAGAGACACAGGGAAAGACTCCGTTCTGGATCGATGCGAAGGAAGTGCACCAAAATTTGACAACGCAATGTCTCCGTGTGTGTGAAGGGTTACGAAAAAATATATGCGAGCTAAATGAAGGCACAGAACGTTCAGCAATTGATAGTCAGACTATCGTCAAATATATCCCTCCGGAATTACAATACTGCTGCCGTTATTGGACACATCATCTGACGCAAAGCAAAGATCCTGCTGCCGGAAAGGATAGAGCCTTTCTGTTCCTTCGGAAGCACTTCCTGCATTGGATGGAGGCAATGAGCATTCTGGGTTATGCAAATGAAGTTGTGCAGAGACTTACTTCATTGCAAACACTTATTGATGTATGTTTCTCTAGAGGTCTTCATTAGATTTGCCTGACTCTTATAGGATGATAACGATGCTGAAATGTCCGAATTTCTGCATGACGCCAAGCGGTTTGTGCTTGCAAATCGACAAATAGCCGACAAAGTACCTCTTCAAATCTATTGCTCAGGGCTTCTATTTGCCCCTGCAACGACGATATTTAGCAGAGAGTTCAAGACGGAGCTACCAGAATGGGCTTGCCAATTATCACAAGCTGAAGAAACCTGGTGTGCAACATTAGAGGTTCTTGGGGGCCATTCGGATTATGTGAAGTCAGTGGCATTCTCACCTGTCGGCCAGCTGCTGGCATCCGGCTCTTATGATAGTACAGTCCGACTCTGGGACTCCGACACGGGCAAGCTGCTACAGACTCTCGAGTGCCATCGGKACYCGGTCAATTCAGTGTCCTTCTCACCTGACGGCCGAGTACTGGCGTCTGGCTCTGMTGACAAGACCGTCCGACTCTGGGACTCCGTCACAGGCAAGCTGCTACAGACTCTTGAGTGCCATCGGKACCCGGTCAATTCAGTGTCCTTCTCACCTGACGGCCGAGTACTGGCATCTGGCTCTACTGACAAGACAATCCGGCTTTGGGACTCTGGTACGGGCACTCTCCAGCAAACTCTCGAGGGCCATACAAACTGGGTTAATTCAATTGCTTTCTCTCCTGACGGTCGGCTATTAGCATCAGGTTCCCTGGATCAGACAGTCCGACTCTGGAAGACGGCTCCATGCGCTCCGAAACTTACTCTTGAGGGCCACTCTCACTCGGTTAAGTCGATAGCATTCTCACCTAATGGCCGACTAGTCGCTTCCGGATCTCTAGATATGACAGTTCGACTATGGGACGTCGCCACCGGCACCTTACAGCTCTCTCTCGAGAGCTATTCCAACTCAGTATCTTCGGTGGCGTTTTCGCCTGACGGCCGACTTCTAGCATCTGGCCACCATGGCTTCATGCATAACCAAGTCCGATTTTGGGAGGTCACCACAGGCGCCCTGCTGCGAACTCTCATAGGGCATTCAGGAATGGTCGAATCAGTGGCGTTTTCGCCAGACGGCCGACTATTGGCCTCCGGATCTATTGACAATACAGTCCGACTCTGGGATGCCGTCGTAAGCACCTCGCAGCAGACCGACGAAAATAATTCACATTTGGTCGAGTTGGCGGTATTCTCGCCTGTTGGCCGACTGCTAGCATCGGGGTCCTCTGATAACAAAGTCCGAATCTGGGAGACGGCTACAGGCCATCTGCAGCTAACGCTCGAGGGCCATTCACAAAAAGTCATTGCAATAGCATTCTCATCTGATGGACGTCTAGTGGCGTCCGGATCTTTTGATATGTCGGTCCGACTCTGGGACACTACGACTGGCACCCTACTTCACAATCTCAGGGGCCATGCAAATTCAGTTGAGTCAGTGACCTTCTCGGCGGACGACCAGCTGGTGGCATCACGATCAGATGATAATACAGTCAGACTGTGGAACACCACTAGCGGCACCCTGCAGCAGGTTCTCGTGGGCCATTCAGGCTGGATCAAGTCAGCAGCACTCACGCCAGGCGGCCAGCTGTTGGCCACTGGCAGCACTGACAAGAAAGTCCCACGTCGCGCCATGCCAGTTGCATTTTCATCTGACGGCAAACTACTGGCTGTCGGCACCATTGATAATTCTGTCCGCCTCCAGGTCACCGCCACAGGCAGAACTCAGCAGGTCCTTAAGGGACATACAGGCCAGGTTTTGTCAGTGGTACTTTCGCCGGACGGCCGGCTGCTTGCCTCTAGCTCTATTGATAGGACAGTCCGAGTCTGGAATACCGCTACCGGTGCCTTGCAGGGAACAATAGAGGCATTGATACCTCAGTTACTCGCGTTCTCACCCGACGGACGACTGCTTGCATCTAAACCCCCTGGTCATCCAGTCGGGGTCTGGGACGTCACGACGGGTGTACCACAGAAGAATTCACACGGCAATTCAAGTGGTTTTGGCTCAATAACATTCTCACCCAATCGCCAGCTGCTTGCGCCTGATTCCTTTACTCGGAATTCCAAACTTTTGGACACAACGACAGGTGACCTGCAGAGCCTCAAGGGCCGTCTATACCCAGTTACGTCAGTATCTTTCTCGCCGGACGGCCGACTTCTCGCGTCTGGCTCCGCGGACCTGACTGTCAGAGTTTGGGACATTATCACTGGTACCCTGCAGTGGAGCTTCGAAGGCCATTCGGAGATAGTTGAATCAGTGGCATATTCCCCAGATGGCAGGCTACTGGCGTCCGGATCTAGCGACGGGACAATCTTAGTTTGGGACACAGCCAAGAGCACTCTGCGGCATACCTTGACGGCCGCAGGGTCAGTCACTCACCTTGATTTTGGTCAAGACAGTTCGACCCTACGAACTCACTTGGAATCGTTTGTCCTCCGGGCTCGCCACATCAATTGTACACCAAATAGCCTTCCAATATCCTTAGAAATATCTCGACAAAGTCGGTGGATAATGCTAAACGGTGCAAATATGCTGTGGCTGCCTCATGGGTATCGGTGTATCGCCATCCATGAACCTATGCTTGCCCTACTCCACGCGTCAGGGCGATTATCCTTTATTCAGGTTCGCGTATAGGGGATATCAATGAAACCTTGTCGGTCTCTCTTTCTTGTGCCCTTTTTCCATTCCCACATCTGTAGCATGTGCGTCAAAATCGATCACTGGTGATGAAGGGTAGATTGCACATGGAATCGGACCAACCGGGACCCTTCGGACTCCTGGAAAACAGATAAGCCGCACCTGTCCTCGGTTGCTGCTGCAATTGGCCATTGTATGGAACGAAGCTTAAGTTTATCTTACAGTCTGAGGACATCAGTGGGTCTCTTGGTTTTGCTGTATACTGTCAATATGTCACTCAGTCAACGTGTTATGTTGGGTCTGCTGGCTGTAGCTAACTGCTATTCTGCTGTAAGGAGAGGAGTATATATGTTTGCAGAGAACATGTGGCCCCGTCAGGCCACGCATGGCATAATAGCCATCCCAGCAGCAAGCATTACAACGGATCCTGACCGTAGAATGAATGGGATGCGTTTTTCTCTCCCGTTGATTGGCCGTTTGTGCGTGCTCAGTGGGATTCGGCTGCCATGACTACCCCAGCAACGTTATTCTCCGAGCTTCATGCGGCTCCCGTGTAAATTAGTCCGCTGCCGGCGGATGTACCGGTTGCTCCTACGGCTCTGTCTTCTCAGAGCAATGCTCCCTGTCGTCTAGTTGACGGATCGTTAATGCCCAAGTAAAGCAGCTAGAAAGCCGGCGTGGACACGAAGCGAGGACAATGGTTAAGGTTAAGTGTTGGAGATGAAAACATGAGAATCGCCCTGGATGGGTAAATATACTCTAAAAGGATGAGTGAAACTACCTGACTCACCCAACTCACCCTCTTAGAGACACGATAGAAAAACGAAGAAAGTGCCCTCGTAGAATTTTGAACGATATTATTACTTACCTAGTTACCTATGGTCTAGAGAGGAGACCAAATAGCTTCCCTTCTAATAAATATAGTTCTTTCCTAGGGCCAAATATACTAACCTGTCCTTTTATATTCCCATCCTTCCTGGTTTGGAATCTTTTGAAATACGACTTATTCTTGCTAATCTACCTTTACCTATAATAGTCTCCTCACAATGGCTTTCTTGTAAATAGAAGAAGTGTAAAAGTCGACTAGAGGTAAGGAGAAGCTGAAGGGAATATCTGATGAGTACTTACTCATCGAGCTCCCCCTGTAATTTCGTCACTTGGCAAATGATAATCCTGATCCCTGTTCTACCTAGTCTCTGTCGGAAAATCTCCTTCCGATTGAGACATAGTCACATAGGTCATCCTTATAAATTGGTAATGATTACCTCTGCACAGGAGTACAATCTTTTGTTCATTATAATTTTACCCCGAGATCATCAGCGCAACCGCCTAAACACTATGCCCACCCATTCCAAAAATCAAAAATCAGTAAATGAAAGGGAAGAGAATATTTTCCTTTTTGTTCCAAACTTGATTGGTATGAGAACCTTTTGAGCCATGAAGACTAAAGAGTTCTAATACTGATTACTCATTCCCAGGTTATGCGCGAGTTGTTTTCGCTATTGCTTCACTTTATTATATGCCTTATCATCCACGAACCTGTTCATTCCTATATAGCGTTTCATGTCTCCTAGATGCCTTGGATGGGGCGGCTGCTCGGCGCTTCGGACAGTCAACACGGTTTGGCGCTGTCCTGGACATGATCACCGATCGATGCACAACAACATGTCTGCTAGTATTTCTTGCAACCGCGTTTCCCAGATGGAGCATAGTCTTTCAAGCCTTGATTAGCTTGGACTATTCAAGCCACTACATCCATATGTATGCTACCCTGGCAATGGGTGGACAGCGTCAGAGTCATAAAGATATTGATGAGAGTCGGCCCTGGGTCATGAGAGTATATTACTCTAATAATGTTCGTGCATCACCCTTCTTGAATGCAATTAGCATTACCTGATATATCCACAGAAAGTTCTGTTTACTGTATGCACAATGAATGAGGCATTTTTCATTGCGCTATATTTGCTTTCATTTTCTTCACCATCACTCATGCCTGCACTGGAGAACAGCGAAGCAAGCTTTGCAACAGCATCCCAGATCTGGGGATCGCCTTGGAGTGCTGGGGCTATGGAAATGGCTCGGTAAGTATATCTCTGACTCCGTTAGGACATTTGGCGCTGACATCGCGTTTAGTGCCAATAAAATCAGCAGTTCCATGCCATGGTTGTTGCTTACCATCTCATCATTATTCATGCTCTTCAAGCAATATGTGAATGTCGTACAGCTAGTAGAAGCGAGTAGATGGCTAGCACAGGGCGATGTTGAGATGAGGAGGAACGCACGCTTGCTTCGAGGGAAAACTCAATAACTTAGCTGATTTATGCGAAACGGGACGACGCCATGGCCATGGATCAACTGGGTGATATCCGGAACTTAGTGCAGCATCGGCTGCTTTGCTTGCTCAAACCATCTAATTCGCTGTTGTTGTTGCAGGACGGGATATTTGAGAAGAAGAACAACAATGGTCATCAACAAGTTGAAGAAGATGAACAACAAGAAGGAAAGTCCCACACAGCAATGACAATGGCTATGGCAATAGAAGTCTACCGCACATACTGGCTAGCAGCGTTCCTGTTCAGTACACACGTCACATTCCGCATCCCAGCCACGCGGCCAACAAGGGAGAATCTGGTGCCCCAGTTGCAAATGGCGATCCGCCGGAGCAGTGATTCTTTGGCCGATGAGAATGGGGATGAGGTTAAAGGTAAGAATGAGATCTTGTTCTGGTGTACGATGATCGGGGGAATTGCGGCGCAGGATGGAGAGCTGGAGCGACGGTGCTGGTACGCAGGAGAATTACGGAAGTTGTGTCACGCACTGAATATTCAATCTTGGGCAAAGATCCAGGAGCTGATGCGGTCTTTTGCGTGGGTGGATGTCGCGTGCGACGAGGGGGGTTATCGGTTGTGGATGGAGGCATATCCTTCTCGTCGATAATCGGTCTCTTCATGCGAACTAGATGTGATATACTAGGTGCGCCGGATACGCCGGATACGCTGGACAGGTAGTATTACTACGCACTATTTACTTCTTTCAGTCCAGCGCAAATCATTGATCTAAAACGCTATGAAGTGAGGCTATAGCGGGCTTTGACCACCGCCGCCCCAAACAGGCAGGCAGACAATGGATAACCTCTTTGTAAGAGCGACATAATCTTTGTTCAGAATTGCAACAAAGCCTAACTCCACCCACTCCCTTCATTACCCTAGCTCTAACCATAGTTGACCCGCTGGCAAAGGATGGACTGCGCATCAGGCGGGCCGGAGATGGTGGACTGGGTGCTCGTGAGGTTCTGGTTTTGACTTTGGCACCCCTTGTCAAAGTAGGTGGTGCACGCGACACCTGACGCGAGTTGGATGGACCCCACCTCAGGGGGCATGGTATTGGGATCGATGAGGACACACTGGTCTGTAGAAAGGATTTGCTGCGCCGGTCCCGCGAATCTGGGATCAAGGTAAACGATCGCCTGCGTAAAGTAGGTCAGACACCCACCCGTCTCTGTCATTGCGAGATGCTGAGTAACGTACAACGGTAGACTGAGCAGCCACGGCAGTGGCAAACACAACAGAGAGGAGCTGAGAGAACTGCATGGTTGCTGAGCGTGTTGTTCTTTCTGCCTTGTGTGCTGTTGGTGCAGAGTCTTGATGTTTAGTACTGCTCTCCGTGTGTGGGGGAGTGGGTGATTTCCTCTCTTACTGTAGAGCTAGGATAGTTAGAATCTGCTTGAAAATGGGCAGTTTAGATTTGTGAAGTTTCCTGGAACAACATCTGAAGGACAAAGTGGGATTCAATTTTTAATTCCGAGTAGTGGTGATATTAATGTTTAATAAATAGTTGAGGGGAGAATGTCGTGACTTGTGATTGTATATCTTTTGTGATAGCTCTTATGGGCAACCTACGAAATGCATTCTACGAGTCCAATAAACCTAATTTACAACTCCTGCTCCCTCCCTACCAATCACATGTTCATTCAAGACCCTCCTTTGGAGCTATAGGCAGTATATTGATGATTAGCAGACTAATACCCACGATCTACTCTGTACTGGGTTAATGATTTCTCATTATTTATGCAGATCATGGCTTTTCCCATGATATATCACTTATGATCTACCGCCTAGGGCGCCTTATGGGCAGTGCAGGACCTTACTACAGCGGACTATTTGCACACGCTGGCTAAAATAAATCTTTTACCATTAATACCTACAGCCACACCACTACCTAAATAGCTGTACACCCCTAGTCAGTAATTATTATTATAGTATAGATAATATACTATTCATTTACTAGAATAGGCCATGGTTGTGGTGTTGACCTAATCCCATGGCTCCGTATATATAGTGGCGCCACGGCACATCCAGTGGATAGATGAGGAGATGGTGCATGCAAACCAGAAGAGGCCAATAGGAGTGGTCACAGCAGAAGTCAGGCAGGGAGGAAGACGAGCTTCTGGTGGAGCAAATCCATTATGTGGCTTCTGCATTCCGATGAATCGCTTATTATCTTGTATGGTGTTAACAACACTACAAAAGACGCCAACCATGACTCCAAGAAATGGAAGCCCCGGTCACAATGCCATCGAATTTCTACAACAAGGCAACCTCATATCGTGTTTTCTCCTTCCTCGGTGTTAATTCGCATCAATGCTGCAAGTACGTCTCGGTATGCGTTTCACCCACACGATAATAGATTTCATTATTGTGAAAGCTACTCTCTCGCCTACGCCGCCAGATTAGGCTTAGGGTGAGTGTTGCCCTTCAGCTGAAGTTTTAGAGGTTGTCAGCTGATATAGGTTGCCCCATTCCGTTCGGCCATAACGAATCTATCAGACAACCGGGAGATACAGGTTCGCCTAAGCTCAAATCAAGAAGGTCTATGCTGTTTCTATATAGGCCCAGACAATTATAAGAAGGTGGCACGAAACTTGCTGCAGCTTTGCTCACTTAGATAATGAGAGAAACTTGCAGTAAAGTGCTTAACGGTTGCAAGCTCCTGGAAAATAATCTCATAGCCCTTTCATATCTTTAAAACTAGCTATAGTAACTTATTAAGTGTCATTCATCTCTGTTGTTGAATGCCTGCTAGTCTGCTTTTGAGGACAAGGAGTCATGCGACGAAGGGGACCTATAGCAGAGAATAACAGCTTCTGAGATTCCATTTTGGAAAACCAGCTGTGGTATCTTGAAGAGGACACAGCCGTTCGATGGGATATCAGTACCACATTTCTCATCCTCACTCAACCACGGTCCAAGTTCTACAGCAACATCTGATAAAATTAGAGCTAACTTTAGAGGTACGGCTGTCCGCAGATGTGATGAAAATACCATAGGGAGTGTGTTCATTGTACAGAAGATGATCCATTGGTTATCATGTGGCTTGCTACAACATAAGATATAATGGTTGCAGAAGGTAATGGCCAGAATCACTGAGAGGTGGTGGTGGAAGAGTCTGTGGTAAATGATGCTCGCAATACTGCTTCCAGCCCTGGATGCCAATTTCATGCGATTTCTTGTTCTCTAACTCACGATATCTATAAGATCCCTCCGCGGCTTTGTTGACTCCAGAATGGGAGAGAACCCATGGGGTGAACAGGTATTTCTGGCAGGAGTATAATTGACAAATGCTCTTTTCTATATCAACAGTGTAAAATACTATAGGGGATGCATCAGCTCATGCAAGGCAATAATCCACCGCATGTAGAGTCTGTTTGCCAAAGGCAGGGGAAGCCCGCAAACGAGAGACAGACCGTCTTACCGAGCCTCAGTCAATGTTTTGTACAAGGCCCATAGAACCCATAACAATAATCATATCTAGGGACCTTAACTAACCTCGGATTTATCATTTTTTTTGTAGAGAAGCATGAATTACCGGGGATGGAGAACTAAACAGCCAACCCCTGTTATCAAAACTAGAAACATGAACCTTCCTAGCAGCAAGAACCAAGTACAAAGGACGATGACCCTCCTTTCCATAATCCGGGTGCCTCTCTCCCAATACTCCAGGAGCAGGTATGCACTCCTTGAAGTCCACCAACATAAACCCATTCTCTAGTAGTAAAGAGATATAGGTCTCCATTGTACGATGATACACATGGATCGGGTAGCCCAGAAAATCCACCGTTCGAGGCCCTTCAGAGCCGTAATTCTCAAGCTCCCAAAAAGGCGTTCCATCATTTTTCACCCCCCAGTTTGAAGTCCGCGGTGCTGTGGAGATAGGATGGTGCACTGAGAAGATAAATCGGCCTCCTGGCTTCAGAGCTTTGTAGATAGCCGCGAAGGTGGCTGCAAGATTCTCCAGATGGTGGAATACCTGGGAGCTATGGACAATATCATATGCATTTTCTCGGAGTTTCAGCGCGGTCGAGTTGGGCTGCGTCAAGGACAAGTCGAGATCCCCCTGCTCATAGGTGATATTATCTGCACTGTTGGACTCCCGCGCCTTTTCCAGCATTTTCGCAGAAGCATCAATACCATGCACAGAGGCAGCACCATTTTCTGAGGCCCAGCTGCAGAACTGGCCAGAGCCGCAGCCCAGATCAAGCACAGTTTGGTTGGTTATTTGGCCTATGCTGCGGCTTATGGTAGGCCATTCCAAAGTAGTTGTCAGGCGGCCTGTGTTCCGGGCCAATTTGGAGAATTTGGCGAAGAAGGCCGGGTCATCATATTCGGTGATTGCCATTAGGGGCAAATATCAAAATATCAGCTTTAATCTTCCGGGCTTGTTTTGTCTTTCATGACGAGCATATGGCCCCTGTTTATATTAACATATAATAGCCAGAACCCCAAGGGGCAAGTAGGGGCAAGTAGCAGTGTGGTCAGTGTCTCATGAGCATGCAGGCATAGCGTAAGGAGGCAATTTATTACGTGTCTTTGCATCCTGGTAAGTTAATTCTCGTAGCACCCCTCTGGCAGTTGCATGGTTGGCTAACTGTGGAATGCTGGCTCCTTACATGGTTCAAGACTGTAGATCACCGCTTGACATCCATGCAATTCCATATCATGCTATTTCATGTGAATTAACCTCTTACTAACCTCTGTCCTATTAGCATTGGTTAATATCAACCTGCCTAACTGTTACATGAGATCAGTAATATGTCAGTTATTATTTGTCTAAGTCATGGACGCAGTTCACCTGTAGATGAGTCCCTTGTGTTAACTACTCTACACCCCATATTTAGGTGTCTATGGACTCCTAATTCCTGTGCAATCTGTGCGAAAATGGCCATTGGAATGCATACGATGGAGACTTGCATTCAGAGGGTTCAGGTCTGGTTTAGAGGGCTTCAGGGGTACAGGATGAAGAGGTTGACGATAAGGCAGTAAGCGCAACCCAAAGTAAAAAACAGATAAACAAAAAACATATAATAGCATATATATGTTAGCGCTCACCCACTCAGTCTCTGATGGCTTTCCGGCTCCAGATCAAGGTAAGTAAATAAACTTACATAAAGCTTTGTTGCACCATCGCATGGAGCTCGCCCTCGATCCGTTCGTTGTCGGACCCCTGTCCATCACTCACGGAAGGAGTATGATCTACTTTTGTCGGCTGGGGACTATGCGTATGAGAAATGAGAGCTGGACCGCAGTCGTAGAATCTTAATTAAGCTCTGTGTTATGGTTGCACAGATGCCTGCACTTGACTAGGCAGACTGAATTGCAATTAATAACATGATCTTCTAAGGCCGTTTCTTGAAAACAAGCTGACACCCATCCTGCTGAGAATTAACACACGACAACAGATATACCTAGGCAAAGCAGAAGATAGGATTACTTACCATGGGAAACAACGTGGCAAAGACCTTGATTTCCTCTGACTTGGGCGTGGGATGATGCTCCCAATCAAGCTCCAGCGCTGCCTTGCCAATCATTCCGGCCATAGATAGCGGCACATATCTCCTTGCGAGGCAGTCATGTGGCCCAGCGCCAAACACAAGCCAGTTCTTCGTCTTGGACTCGGCATCTCCGGATATCCAGCGATCTGGGTCGAAGACCTCAGGGTTGGGGTACGCATCCGGGTCGTGCAGCGCTGGGTAGCAGGAAGGGACGATCATAGAACCCTTTGGGACGGTGTAGTCTGACGTAATGGGAAAATCCTTTGTCGCAAGGTACGGCACGAAGATGACGGGAGGTCGGTGACGGAGAAGCTCTTTGATGACTGCGTTGGTGTAGGTAAGTGACTCCAGCATGGGCAGATCGAAGGACTTGTTCCTGTCGTTTCCTCTTGCGGCCAGATTCTCCTCGCGCACTCGCTGGAGAACGTCGGGCCGTTGGGCAAGGATCTGGAACATCCATGTTGTAGCGCTGCTCGAGGCGTCCTGGGAAGCGAAGAGGAAGGTGAACAGCGTCTCGCTGATTTCCTCGTTGGTGAATTCGCGGATCAGATTCGTCGGTTTCTCCACGTCGGTCAGGCCTGCAGCAATCTGCTTGCGGTACCGATTCGACTCCATCATGTGCAGGACCCAGTAGTCGACAATGCAAGTCGGTGTAGCGCCCTTTGCCATGTTTGCCTTGCATGCGGCTGCACATTTGGCAAATTCGGCATGGACCGCATCGGCCGTCCGCTTCCCGAGCCAGGTTTTAGTGAAGGGGATGTACATCGAGAGCGGAATGTTAACCAGTTCCATCGCGGCAGTCATGAGATAGAAGTCGTCGGCAATCTTCTTGACTGCATCCTGAGAGATGTAATCACCGAAGAACGTGCGGCAGGAAAGTGCACAGTTGATCTCGCGGAACAAGGGCATGAACGCCATCGGTTGTCCTTTATTTCTCTCACTTGCGGCAACGAATTTGTCAAAGTAGTCCGCGAGGACCCTCTCCTGCACTGGCAGATAGGTGGCCATGGCCTTGTTGGTGAACAGAGGAGTCAATCCGCGCCGGTACTCCGCGTGGGCTTTCCCTTGCAGAAAAACCCACGCTTTATGGCCCAAGAGGTCCTTTGCAATGGGCACGATGCATGGCTCAGAGTATGCGGGTGACTTGAAGACTTTATGAGCTAGATCTCGGTCGGAGGCCAGGACAACGAATCTACAGTGCAACTTTTTAGCAGGGAATTATCGTTGGACAAAACTTGTCTATTCGCAACGAGGAGCATAGGTGACATACTTGTGGAAGACCGATACACAGCTGAGAGGTCCACTCGCCCATTGCTCAATGTATGCCTCAAATTTCGGATGAAGTGCTTGAAGGAAGGGACCCATGAGCGGAATCTTGAACGTTGGTCCGGCGATTGGGCCCTTTCGCTTAATGTACATCACTCGAGACGGTGTCAGGTTCATACAGTTCCTTTGAATCTGAGACGAGCTTACCTTGGTCATAAACCACCACTCCTAGCAGAAAAATCAGGACATACTGCCAGGCGGACCAGCCTGCAAGGAACCCCGGCGAAGCACTTTGCAGGTGGAACGTCCTTTGAGGCCATGTCTGCGCCAACTCAGCTTGAGCATTGGAGGCGTTGGTAACTCTAACAGACATTTTTGTACACGATGGAACTGGACGATAAAGACAAGCTTCCGGGCCTCGGAAAAGGATGGTATCAGCCTTTATATGAATTGGAACCGATGATATAACGCGTTCAAGTCGTTGTTGATCCGTTTCTAATGCACCCTTCTTGTTCGGTGTTGTCGTGGCCTTCAGAAAGGCGGAGGACGGGAAGATTGACCCCTTGGCCGGTTCATCAGCTTGCGAGTCATATTGATTTCAGTGCTTAGCAAGTGGATTCTCTCGCAGTGACATGTAGGTATTCCCATCGCAATTGCCGAATTAGGACTAGACTCCGATACTGTCCACGATCTATGTTCGGAGTCTAGTCTGCTTCTGGTTAGGGCTGGCGCAGAAGTCGAGGCCTTAAAACCCAGGTACATGCCGGCGGACCCGGCGTGCCTTACAGCCTTAGCCCTCAGGCTGTAACTTCAGCACCACACTCTCCCTCCCTCGGTCAGTCGTTGCAACATAAAGGACTATCTCTTCCAAAATGCGCCAAACACTTCGCCGGTCCTGTGCTGCATGTGCCAAATCTAAACTGAGCTGCGACCTGCGTACCCCACGCTGCTCTCGCTGCACCAAGCGCGACGCCCAGTGCGTCTATGCGAACGAGCCGTGGACCCCCGCTGCTCCCGCTGCTCCAGAAAGCAGACCAGCAAAGGCAGCACACGGACTCGTAACTCTAACAGACTACCGACTCAATACCCTTGATCCTTTCGAATCGTACCCGCCGACGAAACTGCCCCGGAATCACGTTCAACGTCTCATCCATATCTGTACGTATGTCTCCAATTGGCCGGCCAAACCCGTAACTTACCTATCGACTTAGTTATCCACAAGATTGCGTTCGAATATTATCCTCTCGACCTGAACCCAACGTCCAATCCCTTCCTCGTCTCATGGTGGCCACTTGCTTTGGGCGACCCGGCACTGTTTCACGTCTCCCTCCAGACAGCATGTCTTGATGAAGAGCTGTCAGCCCAGAGGGGCTTTCAGACTTCAGAGCTTCTTATGGCAGACTCCCTGGCGTTGCTGAGACGAAGGTTTGACGACTTGTCACTGGCCATGCAGGACGTGACGATGAACTCGATCATCACCTTGGCAGCTATTGAAGTGAGACTTGACCTTATGCTTTGTTTCCTTTCCATTGGGCCCGTTATTGACGCACCAAAATTCAGTTTGGCAAGGGCAATATCCGCGTCAGCGAGATGCATGTCGATGGTGCCAAAAGACTGGTAAATCTGAGGGGTGGGATCAATTCAGTGAGGCACACTAGCCCTTTGACGGCGAGGATGGTCGGTTGGTAAGTCATCGTTCCCAAGCCGCTTCGAGATAAAGGATAGACGGTTTACACGTCTCCAGGGTATCGCTACTCATCAAGGGTCATCCTCAATTTGAGACCCAGGATGATGTCGGAATTGGAGACGGCATACCTCCCATTCCAGAATGGCAGTTGGACATGACAGCCCTGCCCGCCAGAATATCAGAGCTTAGCAGCCTGCATGTCGACGATTCAGTCTGGAATGTGTTCATCCGCCTCCTCAGCACATTCCAACGGGTGCAATACACACCTTTCCCGCCCGCACGACTCCATGATCTCACATGCTTTGTTATCCATCGACTTTTGTCCTCGGCTCCGGACATGTCAAGCCCTCAGTCTTCACCTGTTACTGAATGCATTCGTTACGCAATCATACTCTACATGTTCACCATCCAGGGGCCGACGTATTACTCGCATGCAGTCATATTGAGCATGATGGTCGGCCGATTTATGGAGCATCTCATAAGACTCTACTCGACACCGCACGTGCCTGGTTCGCTTGATTTATGGCTGTTTTCGAATGGCTTAGTCGCCTCGAGTGGCACGCCTCTCTACCGGTGGTTCATGGAAAGAGCACGGGCTCTGGCCGCTGAATTGCAAATGTCAAGCTGGGATGATGTTCTTATCCGTATCAAATGCATCCTGTGGTTGGAGACAGCACGCGCTGAAGGTATTTTTCGGCTTCACTGGGACGCTATCCTGGATGACGCAATAGATCAAGGCAAGCGGTATATACCCTGTGTCCTAGCGGGCAGCACCGACGCAGGACTAGAATGGAAAGCTATTCTATCTCCCAAACAGTTACCTGACATCCAAGATGCACTAAGTACCGATGAACGGTGAATGAGGTGAATATGGCTCCCGGCTGATCTCCACAGCCAGAAGATTGAACCTAGCAGCCAGTAATATCATAACTAAAGTCATATGTCGAGCTGTGCGTTAAGAGATGCTGCAGCTTTGAAAGGGCATATTTTAATCATATTCATCTTCCCAGGTCAGGATCTGTCAGATTAGATATCGAGCCAATAGCAATCTCAATTCCCATATAAGCTTGGTGTGTCAGAGTGCCCACCGAGCGTATTGAGATCACAATCACAAGAAGGAGAGGACAGTCCCCGCCAGCCATTTTCATTTGTAAGTCCAGTTCTTCGGGTTTCCAGGGCGATCAGGGCCGTCACACGGCTGTTCTTGAGATACTCAGATAGCCACTCCGAATCCGATCCGGTCTCACTCTCATAAAGCTGGGTTTCAAAGGTGGATGACGTTGTCAGTGAGCTGGCGGATATTGCACCGCAGTGATATGAGTCAATTTGCCCACAAAATGACCCCAGCTTCTTCAGAACATGTGGGCTAAAGGAAAGGTGTCACCAGTATCTAATCGTGGGTGTACTAAACGCAATATGGCAGGATGTGGCTCTTGTTCCTGATGAATACATAGTAACTGCTTAGTCCTCTTTCAAATAGGCCATTTGTTGGTCACAGACTCGCGCGGCGGCGCAGCTACCTTGGATTAATTCATTTCCACACACCTGCCATCAGTACGGCGGACTACAAAAGGAGCTCATCGAAATTTTACCATGGTTACATATATCCACGCCATAGGTAGGGTACTAGGGTAGGCAGCTACAATATGAGTATCGACATCCTTAGGGTAAAAGAAATTCGATCCTTGGAGAGGTACTTTGCGAGTATTGAATCTCCTAGAATATAAGCTGTTGATATTTATGGAGGTAGTGACAGTAGGTAATACATGTGGTGAACAGTAAAGAAGGGCGATGAGTTTCTTTTGTGTAAGCAGGCAGTGGGCTTGACAGCTAAAGATTCATATATCCCTGCTTTGCCTTTGACGTGATTCTTTTATGCTTTTTCTCAGCGAATCATAATTCCAGCGGGGATGTCTTGTTATTCGCATCAGGATATAACTAACCATTCTTCTGGTTACACTGTCGCACGGGTAATGTGACTGAACTGCTGCTGCGCTTACTGGCGAAGCCATGGGGTGGGTTCAGATGCAAGGACAAGGGGCGTTCAGTTACACCATGGCAGCTACGGATCTCGTCGTACAATTTTGTGTTCCCAAGGCTCTCTTAGATATAAAGACACTGGATCTTACTCAGAAAATCTATGGCAACATTATACCCGCCTGTATTAATAGAGGTGTTAAAAGTGTTCGCGAGATCACCAGAATTGTAAAATGCATAATATGCATCTACAAATATTTTTCCATGATAGTTTTCAATCTCTCATGATCCACCGCTTTGACTATCTTTCCCCGAGGGCCTTCCATGTCTTCGGCGCCTACTAATGCATTGTAGATCGCTTCCTCCGTGGCGTCAGCTGCGCCTTCGAATAAGGCGTTAATCGTCACATCCTGCACCACAGATACCTTCTGCTCAACTGTTGGCTTCCAGCTGAAATCTGGAGCTCGTGGAATCTGTTCGGCCGTGCTGAAGGCGATGAAAATATCCCCGGAGCTATTTGAGCCCCATCCTCCCACGCGTGACAGCCCAACCGTCGCTCGTTTGGCCAAGCGCTGGAGCTGGGTCGGATGAAGCGGCGCATCCGTTGCGATCACCACGATGATACTTCCATCCTTGGCCTTCGTTGCATCCTCCTCTTTGGCTGCTGCTGCGGCAGCCGCCCCGTCTTCTTGCTCGAACAGTCGCCCAACAGGAACCCCACCGAAGCGAAGATCTCTCTTCGCGCCGTAGTTCGCCTGGACCAAAGCAGCAACAGTATAGTTTGTCTCAGCGCCGAAAGCCACACCCTCAATAACACGACTGGCACTCCCAGTGCCGCCTTTGAAGCCTTGGCACATCATGCCGGTTCCCCCACCCGTGTTACCTTCTTCCACGGGGTCGGCGCTGGCCTGGTCAATTCCTCGAACAACCATATCCGACGTAACTGCCATAGCACCAATGTCGCTGAGGAACAGATCGCACGTTTCGGCCACCACCGGGAGCAGAAACCAGTCTACCAATCCGGTTTCCTTGTCCTTATACTCCCGAACAGCATACTCGTAGACCCCGGTGTAGCATGCACCGACCGAGAACGAGTTAGTGAGAATGATCGGGGAGTTCAGTAGACCAGTCTCATCCAACCAGTGTGAGCCAGTCATTTCGCCAGCTCCATTAAAACGAAAGTACCCTGCGTAACAGCCGGAGTTGAACCAATCCCGGCGGGGTAGAATCGTGGTTACACCTGTGTTGACCGCATGGCTGGTTGTCGTAGAGGGGCGCTTGATTGACTCGGTATGAACCAGAACACCCGGAACATCAGTGAGGGAATTTTTGGTTCCAGGTCGGTGACGACCGAGGTAGAGTTTTGGCAAAAGCTCCCGGACACGAGGTCGTGCTGAAGGTGAAACTGTATTGATAGCTGCCATAGTGTCTCTCCGATCTAGGTAGATAACGATGGGCTGGAAGTTAGCTGCACGAAAGGAGGTAAATTTTCAAACTTCAAATTTGCCTTTACCAGCGCTTTATATAGATTAATAGCCTTTTACTACTGCAGTAGCCTGGCATCGGGATCTGTTTTAGGCCTAGCCCATCCCGACTCGATGCTCAATCTGGGCTAGACGGGAAGCATGATACCTGGAAATTTCCAGCTTCGCACCTAAATGGTTTTAAATCTTTGAACCCGCGGCTGATACACACTTGGGTCTGGCTGGTTGGAGGAAGATGTGGTCTTTTCAATCTGGCAGAGTCACGCTAGTGCGCTTAGTTAGCTTATAATCGGCTTGTAGAAGACGCGGAGGGAGAGCTATTGATCGAGGGCACCTGTCGGCCGAGGTTACTTGAAATGACGCACGGAGGTCTGCAAAGGAGGAGGATGCCATCTGGGCTGTGGGCGGAAGGACCAAGTCAAAGTCCTGGGCAGCGCATTGAGTTTGATAAGGTCCAAAGTCATGTTCAGAGAGGATAATGTCTACTGGCGCATGCCTATCGACTCAGTAGGGGTGGCGCATACTTATTAGTTAACTTCAATCTTATATTCATGTTGGCACAGATTTACAGTCAGGCAGTCAACCTGCTGTCAACCTCTGGCATCTTGACTTTTAGCCAAAACTGATCCTGCAACGAATACTAACATAGTCTGGGCCAGATTGATTGATGTGTTGACCATCATGAAGGGGTCATGAATGCGCGATCCGTCGCACATGAAAATAGAGTGCTAGAACACAGGGGTTGAGCGGGGTCACTGAGTGAGCAGTATTGAGGTTCAGGTGGTTCAGGTGAGCTTCAGAACAGGGGCGAAGGATGTGAAGAACGGCGAGGGCTAAACCCAATGAATTGAAACCTCTAGGTGAACAAAAAACATACAACAGCTATTATATGTTAGTGCTTACCCACCCCAGCGTCTGTTCCCTCACTGCTTTGCTGCCCATGTTCTGGCAGCCTTCAGATAAACATTCAGGTACCTGAATATTTTATACTTGACTACTAAGAAGCTGCATTTTGACAAAAGTGCATAATTGTGCCCATGTATAAGAGAGAACTTATCTTATACTATAATGCGTCTGTCTTATACCTACACCTTTATCTATAACTTAAAACTAATTAGATACTATGCTAAACAAGCCCCTTGCAAATTTTATATATATAATCAACCATTCAACCTTAATAAATATAATAATATAGAGATTAAATAAGCTGTTCTTCTATAGACAGCTGAATAATATAAGCAGAGTCTAAAGATTTTTAATAAGTAAGTCTCTTAAATCTACAGAGGCTTACCTCTAACCCTCTTAGATTCCTTAAGCTACACCCTGCTGCCTACTCTCCCCTAGATATTAAAACCTATAAAGGGTTTTTAGAATTTTATATAAGAAATATAAAGGGTTAGATTAAGGAAAGGCCTATAATAGAGACTATAGAGAATTTCTACTAGGACTTTAAAATAGCTCTTACTTAGCTAAGGGGCTTCTATATCCTAAAGAATATATCTAATACCTTAAAAGAGGTATAGATTTTTAAACCTAATATAGTCTATATACTAATAAATCTCTAAGTATATTATATTAGATTTAAAGACTAAATTTAGTCTTCTAGATATTAGGATATCTAGAGATAGACTCTCTCTAAATAATTTAACTATCCTTCTAATATAACTCTAGTATTAGGACTTTAAGGAATACTAAGGCTAGTTTCCTAACTAGAGTAGAATATAGCTTACTATATTAATACTACTCTATTACTTTTTATCTACCTAAACTAGAGAGGTATATAAGTTAATAGCTTACTAATCTCTTACCTAGTAGAAGGATAGTAGTAATAATAGTAATATAAATCTCTAAGCTAGTGCTATAGCTGCATGCTATAAGATCTATATCTAGCTATTTATATTTAGTAGAAGGCTTTAGAGGCTAACTATATATAGTATTTTATCCTTACTATAGAAGTAGTTAATAGTATTCTAATATTAGTATTAATCTATGCTTAGGAGTTTATAAAGGGGTACTAGAGAAAGATAAAATAGAAAACTCTAGTATATATATTCTATAAGGTATATAAAGAGAAAGTCCTATTCTTTTTTAACTTAATTTTTTTTATACTTCTGTTATTTTCTACTAACTATACTTTCTACTATTATAAATTATATACTAAGATCCTTAATAAAGTAGACTCTATTAAGGTTAGTAATTTAGAGTTATAATCTAACTATATTATCTCCAGGATCTATTTTTAAAAAGATCTCTTAGATACTCTAGTATTTAGGCTATTTAGTAAGCTAGATTATAAAACCTCTATAGATAGGGTAAGAGGTACTAATATATTTAGAAAAGAGTTTACTATACTTAGGTATTAGAGTAGATATAAACTAAATATTACTATCTATATATA